AAAGTTTTGGATCTTTCCCTAATCACTGCTGACATCTTTTGTCTCGGTATCACTGTCATGGGTAATATAAAGATTAGCGTTAATTGCGCTTTGATTGAATTCAGTTTAAATCTAAATCGGAGAAAATCCACAGAATTTTTTGTTGTGGATGTTATTAATCAAGCGCGGGTTGAGCCAGTGGTAGTGTGTATGTACGGCACAGGTACAGTCGCAGATGTTGTATATCAGGCACAGGATACAGTCATAGATATACAAAATGTAGGCATAGTCAAGTTTACATATATTTTCCGCGATATATTCACTAAGCCAGTTATCGTTACCGTTTTGGCGATTACAGTCTTCCATAAAGTAGATTTATTTAAAATCAGAAATTTTCTTTCCTCCATATTAACACATTTCGTATTTTTCATTAAAAAACAATCCATACTTAATTAACAACATATAGTTTAATATGTTGAACAATCCGGATAATCTTGCTCTGACATTCCGTTTTTGATATTAGTGAGCAGGTACAGTCATGGATGTCCGGTACCAGCACTGCCGAGTACAGTTGCGGATGTTAGCTGACAGACCCCACTCGATTATCCCACAGTCTGGCTATATATACAGTCACAGTAAAATGTGTAATTTCTTTTTCTTTCTTTTGGCAAAAAAAAATACAAACTTTATTTCAGAGGGGGCACTACCAAACATTTCCTGACAAGCAAAAAAAAAAAAAAAAAGTCATCAGACGTTTTTATTGAGGGGGCATAAGCATATAGTATCTATGTTTACTATAGTAATCTATACATCGGCAAAATTATGGGGGGGGGGGGCACGTGCCCCCCCCCCCGGTTCCTACGGCCATGTGTTTTAATCTTTAACATTACATGTATTTTGTTTCTGCAGTAAATATAGATCGAATACAACATTAGGCTATATTACCCTATCCACAAATAAAGGGCCAAAATATGATTATAAACTGAAAACAAGTTAATTGTTAAAACTAAAGGGAAGCATATACATACTTTTATTTTTTATCGGTCTTAGTATTAAACTCTACACTTGAAATAAGAAATTTCTTTAAATATTGTAATTAAAAATAGACTTATATATAACTAGAGCAGAGCTCGTTGCAAAGCAACGAGTAGGTCTTCCGTTGGAGCTGCGAACAGGAAGAAGTGACCTTGAGTCAAGGTCATGCCACATTCTAAGGTTATAAGCAATCTTGTAAGGGGTATCAACTTGCAGTGTCTCACCAGTAGAAAGACAGTTAAGGAATGTTGTTTCTCCGTTGATGACATTGAACTCGTTCTTAAAATGACCTTGCATCAAGCCATGACACACTCTGGTTATAAGCAAACCCCATCTCGACTCGACAAGTTAACACATGTTTTTTCAGACCATTCATCCAGTCAAAACATTCTTTCCTTAGTGACCCTAAATTTAATCAACATGGCCTTAGGAACCGAGGGGGGCGTGACCCCCAATAATTTTGCCGATATATAGATTACTATAGTAGACATAGATACTATAGCTTGTGCCACTTCAATAAAAACGTCTGATAACTTTTTTTTTTTTTGCTTGTCAAGGAATTTTTGGTAGTTGATGACTTTTTTTTTTGCTTGTCAGGAAATTTATGGTAGTAGTGCCCCCTCAACTGTCAACTGAAAATGTATGGCTGTGCCTCCCCCCCCCCCCCTCCCCCCAAAAAACTGAATTTGCTTCCTACGGGCCTGATCAAGGCAATGATACACTCTGTATGATATCAGCGATACCCTTTTGTGTGTTTCGGACTTGACAAGTTCACAATTTACATTTATTGCATGATAGTGAGGGAGACATGAAGATTTCTTCGCCCATAAAAAATCATATTCCACGAGGGCAACATGAAGATTTCTTCGCCCATGAAAAACCATACTCCCCGAAGGCAACGCCCGAGGGAAATATGATTTTTCATTTGCGAAGAAATCTTCATGTCTCCCTCACTATTATGCAATAAATTGTTTATAATACCGAATTAACCACAATGCAGGAATTACAAAGGAGATCCAATGAATAAAGCAAACATGCATTTGATGAGAACGACATGAAAAAGATGTACCGGTAAGTTACAGGTACACCAATAGCCTCGTTTCATTAAAAAATACATTCCTACTTGACAAATTTGTGTGATCACACCAGTAACATTCAAATACCAACATTACATTTTTACACATTTAAATCGACACAATCAATCAACGATAATATGTTGACGGTGCGACCGTTGGGGCGAGCGCATTGTTCACTTAATTTTAAGATCCGCCTCTTCAAACCGCACGAGACATTTGGAACGTCTAGACTGTGACGTCTCATGACGTATGTTAGCTGTATATTTCCATAAACAAATTTTGAAAAGTGCAAAATTTTTAACAAAGAACGTTTAATCTACTATCTGTATGCAATTCCATTAATTAAGGTGATTTTTGGGGTGAATTTTTAGTTGTTGTTACCGCGCGAACGAAGTTAGCAGCGTCGCTATAAACAATCTAACTCCTCAGTCGTTTAATTGTGACGTCACAATGGTGAAACACGACGTTTTGTTGCAGGGCAAACATGATGGACACGTGACCTTCTCGGCCAATCAAGTTCTATTTTACTAGTGATTTTTCACTTGTAAGCTTGTTTTCACAGATGTATAATAAACTTTATTTTAGATCGTACATCGAAATAAATTATCATAATTTCTATAGTCGTAATTTATTAGTTCAACTCACTGCTTTAAAGGATCATTGTAAATGTTTTATGCCCGATTTGGATACTGAACAACATGTGCTTTTGAAACACTGATGCCCCCATATGGCATCTTATGGCAAAAGTTAAAGTTTCTCATATGCAAGTCAAACTCCATGGTCAAGATCAAAAGATGAAAAAAAAAATGTTATTACCCAAAGAAAGGTCTTGAACAAAGAATATACTGTGAAATATATACTAAGTATGAAAGCCACAGCAGCAACAGTTTAAAAGTTATGGCCAAGGTTAATTTCTTTAAAAGGTCAAACTCCAAGGTCAAGGGATCATAATTGTTTGTGCTTGAGGGCAGGTCTTAATTGTTACAAGGAATACACATGTGGTATTAAAGGTTTGTGTGGAGTTCCGAAATCACGAAATCTTGACATTGTGAGGATGGTACATTACCTATGAAAACATCTTTCAGAAAGATACATGTATATTTTTTTTTACTTCAAGGCTTTGACCTAGAAATTTGACCTACTTATCAAAAATTTAAATTTTGGTCATAAATTTTCCTCCAGAAGAGATAAGGCTTTCATATTTTTTCACATGTGCATTACTTGTGACAAGATCTTTTGGATTGTACTTTGATATTTGACCTTGTGACCTTGATCTTGAAGTCTGATGCACTTTTGAGACCTTTGCAATAACTGTCATTAATTCAATAATTTATGTCTTTTTGTATGATGCACAGACAAGACAGGACACACAAACATGACTGTTACAATATGCCATAGATACATGTATTTGCATCCCATGCACTAAGCGGAGGACCACAATTCTTTGAATTCACTTGTTATTATTATTCTATGGGTTAAAACATTTATTACAGAAACACATGCGTAACATTGAGTCAGCAAATATAGGCAGTTTTTAACCAGTAAATCTTTAATTGTATAAAAGCTCATCATTCTGCAACAGAAAAAGTCCAAGCACTCGATGGTGTATAAATAATTACTTCATAAAAGTTCTACAAATCAATCAATCCCATTTTCTTTAAAAAGAAAATAATACTTTTCCAATTAGAAAATGGGTGGTGCTACGGATCCTTTTAAAAGATATGTTTTATCAATTAATGACAATAACGACAATTACATGATTAGAATCCATTAATCCAATCACAAGTGACAGGTATATAACTCAAGGTCAAAATAGGGGGCAATTAGCACAGTTTGGGGGTATTTAAGGTATGTCACTCATTTCTTGCACTTCAGAACAGTAATTGTTTCAAGTCTTTACATAAGGGGTAGGGGGTCGAAAAAAAGATATCGATTCACAAGGAAAATACATCAGCTTCCTATCAAGTAAGTAAATTCTATTTTATTCCATAGATTTTGATTTGACAAAAAGATACTAACCCATTAAAGTCTTCTCGCTGTATCTGTTACAAGGTCGGTTAGATATGTGTACATTTAACTCCAAATACATGGAGTGTTTCATATTACATAATTTTTTTTCCATAATTTAAAGAAAAGTACAAAAGTACAAAATCCTGTCTAAAAATTCATTGAAAATAAATCCATTTTAATCTGCAAAAATGTACCAGCAGTCTAATTTGATATTGTTAATTAGTTGTTTACTTTGATCTATTAATTGTTCCACTCCTTTTTTTAAATAAATAACAAAAATATCTTTTGTGCATCACTTGCATTAATTTGGTTTACAAGTTGACACCTATGGACAGAGATCTTAAGATATTGATAATTAATAAATCATGTATTTTAAAGTTTTCATGAGTCTCGTACGTTTTAATTAAATACAATTGAAATGCATAAATTTTATTATGAAAATGATATGAAAATATTGTTTATACACAAAATTTATAATAATTGAAGTTAAATTGATATATAAAATACGCTAAATTAATTTTTTTTTTTAAATAAAATTCCTGAACTTAAAAAATTAAAAGTATATTTTATGCTTTTTGAAATACATTCAGTCAGTTTATTATTCATAAGGAAAAAAATTGAAATTTTCATTATCTTTTGTCTATTTAATCTACTGGGTTTTTAAAAAATTAATTTACATGTTTTCATTTATTTAACCGGGTGTCATCGAGCCCCGGAGCTTATTTTAAATAACAAAATTACTTAAAAATTTAACACTTCTGGGCCTTTTATGCAAGTATGCCTCAGGTAACCTTCTTTCAGAATAAATAGAGGAATTTAAATCCAAAGTTATTGAAAAAGTTGACGCTTCACCGATTTTGAGTGGGTACAGCTATTTTTCTAAATTAAGCAGTATAGTGCATGTAGCGACTGGCTTGTTTACAATACTGGGTAGTTGAGGGAGCGGGCGTGGCATTGAACTAAGTGGATTCAGGTAGGTTCCTTACTTCCACTCAGTTTTAAATTCATTAACAGCATTGTTTGTATAAATAGGTTTATTGAATTGGGTCATTAAAAGGGATATACGATGTTTTTAAAAGCTACATTTAAATTATTTACGAAGCCGAAGGTGTCCATTGAAGACGGCTTCAAGAATAAATCTTGTTGACTTTATCGAGTAAAAGCATTTTACACGGAAGTGTTTACCATTGTGCAATATTCCTTACAAACTCCTGTACTTTTGTTAAGTAAGAAACCGGTACAAGTTATAATGAATTTGTTAAAACTCTTTAAAATATAGTCAAATTCATAATTGCAAACAGAAAGTCGAGAAATTAACTGGTTAACAGTGACTTCTCTTAAAGAACATTTTTATTATTGAAATTTTCAGGTTTGGTGACTAAGTTAGGAGGTATCATTTGTATTAAATTATACCCCTGAGATACCTTTTAGTTACCAGCAACCACACATCAGCTGTACAACTTTCATTGTAATTCCATGAAACTTTTTTTACCTACTTATAATTCCTAAGTATACTTACTGTAGTATATGAGCTTTTATTCTCTTTGGCAAGATATATTACAACCTCCACATTATATGTAATTGTTTCTCTTTGTCATTGCAGAAATTTTAGACATGGCGAAGGACGAAGAAGGTAAACTATCCCATCTCTCTCTCCCTCTCTTTATAGAATTAGTATGACATTAAAAATTAACCGCGATCATGTACATGTAATTCCGTTTCAGTTTTAATCACCAAGAGTAAAAGCAGCCGAGGTATGGAGAAGTTTTGTCTGATCTTGATGATAATAGCAGCCCTGGGTTTAATTGTTGGTCTCATCGCCTACCTAGCCAGTGAGTATACCGCATCATCTTCAGTTAATAAAATGTAGGAATTTAGTTGTTTAAAAAGAAGAGACGTGACCTAATGGTTTTAATAGTAAATATGCACTTCAACCCTCCATCGTTTCACATTTCTCTCTAAATCCTCTCTCTATTTCTTTGAAAGATGAATATTTGAGACATTTCTTATACTTTATTGATGATGAATTGATTTATTAAATTGACAAAGTTTATCTCAGAAACTTAGCCAGTCCTTTTTTAGATATATAATCATCTACCAACCAACCCTAACTGGCCATGTCTTGATGAATTTTTAATTTACACTACCTAAGAAGATAACTATTTTCCTGCTGAAATAATTTTAATGTAAAAGTTAATTGAACCCCTAGCTATTGTAACCTCATGCATCCTTGAAATCTCATAGAGACCTAATCCCAGTGATCATTCTTGAGAAAATTAACTGCAGCTCTGCAAAGAAGATTTTTCCCATTTAAAATTCATGAAAGTTTGACAGCACCTGTTGACGCTTCCAATACTGCTAAAGGATGCTGGCATTTTAACATGACTGATATTGGCCAGGCTGTTCTTGAGGAAATTTTAAAAGATTTTTCCCAATATATTTCTAAGTAAAACTTTGAGCCCCCTCAGTGGCCCAATTGTTACCCCAACCAAATTAAGGTCAAGACTTGTTCAAATTTTAATCTATACTCCAAAAAAAAAAAAAAAGATTTCTTGTAAGTTTTGTCTTTTTTGGCCTAGTGGTGAATGGAGAAAAAGATAAATCTAAATTACCTCCCCTTGGGAAAGAGTGTTGCATATCATTTAAATGTGAATCTCCATCATCCATGGATGGTTTGTGGCAAGTTTGGTTGAATGTTTCTCTTGAAAACAAGTTGAAAATTATTTTTAAAAAATTATGGACAACAACACTCTTGAGACTGCAGACAGAAAATGGATAAACATTCAACTGAGTTTTCAGCTTACTGAGCTTACATGTACATGTTACTAAGAAGTACAATAGGCAGCATTCAGTTTTTTTCTAGTCAGTTGTAATTTTACAAAATTACCTACGTCAAAGCATTCATTTTATTTTATAGCCAATCCTCCTGGAGATACCAGTGATAACGTCCAGCCAAACTACCCTCCAAGTAAGTACATCATAGTCCAACAACAAGACCCCCCCCCAAAGTAAGTAATTAAATCATAGTTCAGCAGCAATACCCCCCTCCCCCCAAGTAATTACATAATTACATCATAGTCCAACAACAATACCCCCAAGTAAGTAATTACATCATAAATCAGCTGCAATACCCCCAAGTAAGTAATTAATTCATAGTTCAGCAGCAATACCCCCCCCCCCCCAAGTAAGTATAATTACATCATAGTCCAACAACAATACCCCACAAGTAAGTAATTACATCACATAGGTCAACAAAAATACTGCAAAAGTAAGTTTATGTCATAGTCTAGCAACAATACCACAAAAGTAATTAATTTCAGCATAGACCAGCAACAGTATCCCACATGTAAGTTATTACATCATAGTCCAACAAAAAATACCCCACAAGTAATTACATGTATAAGATATTGCAGCAAAAATACCTAACAAGTACAGTTGAACTTCGGTATCTCGAACACTGATATCTCAAATACCATGGATATATTGAAGTGATTTGAAGTCCCAATCGCTTATTCTTTAAGTACTGTATACAGGGTTATTTTCACCCCGTGTTATTTTCGCCCTTTTACATTCGCAAACAATTTGCCCCATTTTAAATTCGCCCAGTCACAGTTTTGTTTAAGAAATGCTACTGTGTTCTTTGAATTCACCCTGTTTTATATTCGCCCACCTGTGAGTTGGGCGAAAGGGGTGAAAATAAAACGGGGCAAAAGTTTCCCTGTATACAGTATTTTACCCCTGATATCTCGAATCCTTGGATATCTTGAAGTTCATTTTAGCAGCGACCCAGATTTGATTTAATTCCAAGTAATGCATAGAAGTAAATGTACACTATCTTGATGTAGGTGCTGAATATGCCATAGATAATGGAGCAAAATGGTTAAAAGACAATCAAATGACTGCAATGGGATGGAAAGATCAACAGAATGCGGATGCTACCTTAGGCCTCACACTGGGCCGAATGACCACATATCGCCCGGGTAACTGCGATTTTAACATCATGTCAAAGAGTCTGGAGTACGATCTCCTATCTGCATTAATGAGGTATATTTAATTACACATACTTTTATTGGTATTTTTGTTGTACTAAGTAACATTACTTAATCATCATTTTTGAAACTTTAAAATGCATCTGATTTCTAGGAACCCAGCATTTGATGACATCATATGGGGACGCTCTCTGCTGGCAAAATATGTCATCGCATTGAGAGCAGCATGCATAGATGCCAAAGATTTCCATGGATACAATTTGATAATGATTTTAGATAAACTGTACAATAAATTTAACAATTTCTACACGAATCGAAGTGACGCTACGGCCATGTTAGTTTTGGCTAAGTGTGTGTCTGAAGAGGAACAAAATGATGCCCAAATCAACGTTCTACAGAAGAATGATGCATTCACATCAGTAGGTAAGTCAGAACTTAAAAACTAAATAACAATAACAAGAAAAAGGGTATGTAACTCTTTAAAGAAGTGTTTTGATATCAGAAAGGAGAGAGCGCAACATAACTGGTACGTACACATGACTGCTGTAAGTGCATGTTAGTTCCTTGGATAGGTATGTTTATTGTTTGTTGTATTTATGACTATATGCCAATGTATGAAGGTGTTGTCAATAAATAAAATGAACGAAACATTTCTTCAAGGAAAAATAAACCTATTATTGAAGGAATTTGTCAAGTTTTTTGCCATTAGAACAAACATGCACTCTCTCCAGCTTGGAGAAATTCAGGACAAGTGAAATGCTAAATGTGACGTCTTTCTGTTCAGTACACACTCTCTTCCCTCTCCCCTACAGATGAATCCAGCCTGGTGCTCCTGGCATTGTCTTGTGTAAACCATTCCATGTACTACTCCACCATAAATAAGGCAGAGGAATATCTGATGGGAGAGTTTGTTAACGGAAGTTTTGGTGACACCTACAAGACTGGTCTTGCTGTTCAGGTGGGTCAGAATAAAATTTGGCATAGTCTCCTTCAAAAGCTTTGATGTCATATTTCTAGTATGTGATTTTATCCATTTTTCATCGTCAAAGAGAGCAAAAAATTACATTAATTAATTGTTAAATATGAATAATATGGTGACTTTCTGTGCTTGATTTTTTTTTCACATGCTTTCAGGCCTTGACACGGTCCAACAGAACTGACGTGGACAAAACCATAGAAGCAGGACTACTGTATTTGGCTCAAGAGATACAAAGTAAACACATAGATATTTTATTGAGGAAAAACTGACACAAACATAAAACAAAAAACAAAAAAAATTGCTTTCATTCAAGAATGCGGAGGTGATAATGATCGAGTCTTACTTTCAGGCAAAAGGCAGGGGAAACTACTGAACGTTGGAGAGGCATCTCACGTATTACCGGCTCTGGCCAAAATGTCTTACGCAGACATCAAAGGGAAATGTACAGAGATAAGTATGTAGAACCTGTAAACTAGTATGTAACTTCAAAGCAAACTCAATCTTTAACAAACATGCTTATAATAAAAATGTAATTTGTTATCAATTAGTATAAACCAAGAAACTGTTAATATAAAGAATCTACATAACACAGCACTGTTGGCCAATGTTAGATGTCTGCCATCATGTTCAACTGCACACATTGAGGATTTTATGTTCCTTTAGGTCTTTGTATGTTTCTATATTTAACCTTTTTTTTTAAATCAACTTTCATGTTGTTATTTTTTTACAGAAAAACCAGGATCTACAGGTATGACTGTAAATGTCACAATTGAGGTGGATGGACGTGCCATAAACAATAATAGTGTACAACAAACTTTCCCAGCAGTGACCATTGAAAAGGGTCAGTCTCTATATGCTGTCCTCAATAAACTTCAAGACAGCAGCAGTTTTACGTAAGTGTGTAAGATATGTATTTTGAAATATTAGATTGTTACTGAAAGTAGAATATTTGTGATCCTTGGTCTAAATTAATTGTATCATCTTTTATCATCTTCTAATTTAGCTAATAACTCAGGACAAATCACAATACATTGTGATGAAAGAAATGATAAATAGTGAAAATTATTAATAGTAACAAATTGTCCCCTTTAAAACATCTCAGTCCAATACCAAATGGAGCAGAAAGACAGCATGTTTGTCCCCTCTAAAACATCTCAGTCCAATACCAAACGGAGCAGAAATACAGCATGTTTGTCCCCTCTAAAACATCTCAGTCCAATACCAAACGGAGCAGAGAGACAGCATGTTTGTCCCCCCTAAAACATCTCAGTCCAATACCAAATGGAGCAGAAAGACAGCATGTTTGTCCCCTCTAAAACATCTCAGTCCAATACCAAACGGAGCAGAAAGACAGCATGTTTGTCCCCTCTAAAACATCTCAATCCAATACCAAACGGAGCAGAAAGACAGCATGTTTGTCCCCTCTAAAACGTCTCAATCCAATACCAAATGGAGCAGAAAGACAACATGTTTGTCCCCTCTAAAACATCTCAGTCCAATACCAAACGGAGCAGAAAGACAGCATGTTTGTGGCACTTTATCCCTAGAGGCTTACAAGTACACAAAATATTAAATCCTATGATATAGGTTTTACACCAGACTAGATTGGAGATTTTGTACAAATGTTATGTCTGCCAATTACCAAATTTGGCTTAAATGTAATGTAGATGTATGTAAATGTTTAAAATAATTTTTAGTAATGATGATTTTTCTCATTTCAGATTCAAAAGTACACTGACATCATATGGCCGCACTCTTACAGAAGTCATGAATTTACAAGTTAATCTGAATTCTGTTCAGAGTTGGAATGTATACCTGAGTGGAAATCCTGCCCAACAGAGCATGTGTAAGAGTTCTAGAGCACTTACTATTTTCTGATGACTTCATTATTGGAATAGCATCCATATTCCTCTTTCAATTAAAGTTACAATCTTACTGAAAACTTAAGTGAATTTAAAGACATATCCTGAACTTGATCTGTTCAAATAATGAGAGTCGAATACATGTGCATGTTTCTTGAATTGCTGTTTGTATTTTTTCATATTCCTTCAAATATTTCAGATAATTGCAAAGTGTTTCCTAATTACATAGTTGTACATTGATGTCAGTGCTAAGGTTTTTGCAATTTCTTTAATGTTTTTTCCATAGCATTCTATTTTTAAAGGGAAAATAATGTCTTCTTTTTTTAGATTTGGATAGGATTATACCTGAAGATGGATCTCAATACATTTTAAGAGCAGAGCCAAATTAAAATGGTTATCCTTCAAGGTTCAGGAGTTTCTGAAGCATTTCATTATCACCCAGTTTCCAACAAAGCCTGCATTTAAATCTTATAACTTCATTGGAGGGCACAGTTTAATATACAGGACAATTCCTGTTTATTAAGAATTACACTTGTAAACCAAACCATGAAGACTATGTGAATGTTTACCAATTCATTTTTAAATAATCATACAGCTTACAAGTTTTAATATTCTTACATGTAAATGTGATACTTAAAGGACAGATATTTTATCAAATTGTTATATTTTATATACATGTATTTTAACAAGACTATTTTTGTCATATTTTTGTGAGTGTCACACATATATAAAGAAATCCTGGTATGCATGTATTCAACATAAGCTAGAATTTTATCCTAGAGATGTCATTTTTTCTCTTGCACATTTAAATGCATTGATCGAAGTGTCAAGTATGTTGTTTTGTATATAACATTAAAAGGAATTAATAAAACAGAATAAATGAGGTTCAATTTCTGATAAGCCAGCAACTGTTTTAGTTTAGAGAGCTTAACCTACTCCTGTCCTCATTATCATGCCTTGAGAAGAACACCTCGGTATATTGCTAATTACTCAAAAGTAAAAAATTTTCTGATAATCAATTGAATTATAGCATGTAAGTATCAAAAACCAATTTATTCATCAAACTGGTGTTAAGCATAAATTGACAATTTTTCTGTAACAATAAGCACCAAAACTGCATCTATAAAATTTTAATATTGCATATTCTTGATCAAACAGCTATCACTGTTTAAATGGGAAGTAGTATGTGATTTACATATATCAATGTTATTGTAACTATATCACAGGGCACAATACAATTCCTCTGCTGAACACAACTCCTCCAGTAAAAGCTGTATTTGTTTAGGTATTAAGTTCTACCTTAGGACACTATACGACTCCTCAGGTATTCCAGTAAAGCCAGAGTTCCCTTGGCTAGAACGGCAGGACGAGGATTTCTAAAGGCATTCCCACTCAGCAACAGGGACCTGTCAAGTGTTTTATATTATGGTGTAAACCTATTGGTAAACTCTTACACAAATATATATATATATATATATATATATATACATATACATACACACACATGTATATGGTAAATTACCGGTTAATAACAGTCAATCTTTGTAATTTTTTTTTTTCAATATACCTAAATTCTTATAAAACAATTTTTTAAAAAAAAAAAAAGTTAAACTATGCATATGTGATAATCAGTATTTTTTACTTTCTAATAAAACTTGAAAAAGGTCAAATGAAAGTTTATTTCTCTATTTATTGCAATCAGGGTTAACCCATATTTTCACTCATGTTCACATCAAATCCGCTTCTCTGCTGTTTTTCTATCTGAAAAAATGATTTCAGTAACCACTGATGATGAATAGAGACTTTGCAACTTATTAAATCCCCCACCCTCACCCCCAGAAAAAAATTGATAATCATAAAATGGCTCAGATGGCACAGATTTTTGGGGATCGATCGAATTGCAAGATACTTTCCTGATCATTTGAAAATTGTCAGAATTTTGTGATATTTAATACTACGTCACCAATGAAGGGGGGAGAAGTCTGTTATATACTTATTGACCCTGGACTCTTTTTAAAAGTTGGGTAAAAAAGAAAGAGGAAGTGTAAAGATTGTTTGGTCTAAGGTTTTTGTTCTATTATCCCAGTCTCTATCTAAATATCTCCAATCTGTTAATGGTGGTGTATTTCACTGAAGAAATTTCAGCGTGACACAATGAATGAGATCATGCAATAACATGTAAAACATTGCTGAGTAGAAAATTAGTTGTTTTAATGCATAAATTTAAAAAGAGTAAAATTTTTTATGAAGGGGTGACGTAAATTTGATTATTGTATTTAGGATTATAATTATTAAATTACGGGGGCTTTTGACCATGTCAGCATATTTTAAATTATTTAATTTGGCAATTGCTGCATTTCAGTTTTAAACATACTACCTAAGAGTTAAATTACATGTCCCAGTATTTAAAAAGAAATTTTAAAAGCACATAATATACATGTACAATAAAAATCAACTAACAGGTTATGAAAATTATGAAAATTGTAATTGCTTATGATCTTTCTGACCACTTAGTGAGTTAGCTGGTTAACCTTTGCCATTCCTAATAATATTGTACATATAAATGTAATTTTACAACAACTCAGGAACATGTTAAACATACATGAAAATGAAAATTTAAACATGTGGTTCAGAATTTTATCTTAAAACTTTGGGTTTTCAAAGGCGGATTCAGTAATGGCAAGCTACCCCCACCCCCACCCCAGTTTCAGATTTTTAAATTTTGTTTGTTAACTTGTATATACTTCCACTTTAGTTCACATGTAACATTCAGCCACATGGTATGAGGGCTGATTCAAAAAAAAACATTCTTATAAAAATAAGTTGGATTCTACATCCCCCTCAAAATAGGATATCCTAATACCCCCCCCCCCCCCCCCCCGTACTTGCAATTTTTATTAAATCTTATAAGTATACACTTTATTTCGAGCTTCCATATGTCAAAACATATTTCATCTTCCCTTGACAGCAATGTATTGTCTTTTGAAATGGTGTACCTATAATGTCTACTTACTTGATTTGTGTGCAGTTCCCAAGTTCTGGGGGCACCTGTTCTATGTTATTGTTCTGTAGATCTAAGGTAGCCAGCATAGGTAGACCTTTGATTCCAGCAGCATCTATTGTGGTTATCTTGTTATTGTCAGCAAATATTATCTCTAACTTCTTCATTTCATACAGTGGTGAGGGTAGGGTGGTGAAACTACAAAAATATTTTAATTAATGAATATCCATAATCTTCATCCACAAAATTAGCTTCCCACATAGATATATTGGGGAGAACAAATAAAAGAAAAATTATATGGAATACTTCTCAAGCAACTTTACAGTTGATAATGTTCTAATCTAGAAATATTTCATTTCCTACTGTGCTTGATAGTTAACGCTGTTTCAGAATTAAATTGTGTTTTTTTTCTGTTTTTTGGGGTGGGTGGGTGGGGAGGGAGCATTGTAAGAGAAAATAGAGTAACCAATTTTAACACATTCTTTAATTTTTTGGTCATTTTTTTTTTAACTCAAACATTTACAAGACAATATCATAAATAACATTTGACATTAAATTTTTGAATGGTTGGTTGAATAAAAGGAAATAATGAATAGTTTGATGGAAATATACTGAAAGAAATTAATGTGGGTGGTGGAGATGACCAGAAACTCCCCCATTTAATTCTGGAACAGCCCTTGAATAGGTTTCTTGGTGAGATATATTACCGATTACATGACAGAACAATTTCTCTCAGGTCCTGAAGGGACTCCATGTCTTTTGGTAAGTCAGACAGTGTATTGTTCCTGCAAAGTAGTATTTTTATTTAAAAGTTCCATCCACTCTCCTTGTGATAATTATGAAATTTGTAGTGACAATCCTGGCCATCTACTGTACCTGAGATCCAGAGTAGTTAACTTGAGAAACAATCCAATGTCAGGGTTTAAAGTTGTTAATTTGTTAAACCCAAAATAGAACTCCTTAAGTGTTGACTCCAGTAGTATCAAGCTGTTAAAATAATTATACTTGCATAAACTCACAGAATCGCATTACAGTTTGTGAAGCCATTCTTGACACTGAAAACTTTCACATGTATAGATACAGGCCTCTAAGTGGCCTCTAAAATTTAGGCGCCAGCTGGTGCCTTATCAAAAAAATTGTTGCCAATGCAAATTTTTAGTCGCCAGGCCATTTTTCTAAGGTGCCAACTTTAAAAGTTAATAGAATATAGGGACCCATGCCATGCCTAAGAAAACACGACATGTCCATTGCTAAAAACAATTTCTTCTTCTTTTGAATTTCTTTTCAGTTTTTCAGAAAAATTGTTAAAAATGTGAAAATTTCCGGAATTCGATGATTGCCAAGTCAATTTGTAATGGTCGCCAATTTGGCGACTTATGGAAAAATTTTAGGCACCAATCAAAAATTTTAGGCACCATGGCGACTAAATTAGTCGCCAGTTAGAGCCCTGAGATAGTAATAAATTCCAATGTATTAACCATCATTTTCATTATCACATTCACGTGAGAGATATTACCTATACATATCACCTGTTTTTTTCCCCAATTATTTAGAAATCAATAGCAACTCTCTTATATAAACATGCAATTCAAATAATATATTGTTCAGCATGTACACAAGTATTTGGGAAACAATCCCATTGGTAGCAAATCCATGTGTTGACAAAGTCCTTCATGTATTTAACATGTGGAAATTGACTTCTAAGATGACCTTGATATGACATAGATATGACCATGACCTACTTAAAATAAATACAAGTCTGTAGCTTGAATTAAATTCAAATTTATATCTAATCAGTGATAAGAGTGGAAAGACCTCCCTCCCAGGCGAAGAACAAAATGAAATGCTCTGAGGGCATACAAACTTTGTTGGGAGATCCGTAAACTGGTTCTTGCTCAGATTTACACTGGTTACCCCTGACTTCATGGCCACTTCCCACACATCATTTGGTACTGAAGTGGCTTTCTTATTACTGAAATACATAAGTTTACATTGCTACTGAAAGCATAGATAAATTTTTCCTTTCAGGAAGATATTTTCAAAGAATTGTGGTAAATGGTTGGATCAAATGATGTTTAAAAACATTTCAATTTTTCCAATACTGTAAATCACTTTTTTATTCGTGAGAACTTTATTTTCGCGTAATTACATGAGAAAGTGTGCTCGCAAAAATTTCATTCTCGGATATATTAGTATTCCTAAAGATTATATAGAGCAATAACCACAATTCGTGAATATTCTGTCTCGCTAATAAAGAGTCAATGACTATCTCGCTTTAGTGTTACGAAAATTTAGTGATCTACAGTATTTTGTAATTGCTTTTATAGGTAACTTGAAATTCTAAGAAAAATTATCATTCAGTACATGCTTGTTCATTGAATATTGACTGTTTATTAATGTACAAGATTTTTTTTATCCTATTAACCTTTTTTTTTTTAATTTTTGCTATTATCATCACCTGTAGTCCAGGGTTTTGGACTGTTGGATTTCATGAGCCTTCAGCCCCTCCCCTGTCCCTCCCACAATACCAGTGTCTCCCCCATTCTGGATCCCTTTGTTGGTGGCTACCACAGGTTGTGGAACCTCAATTCGGCTACAGAGGTATTTCTTTAATTCCACTGTTCCTCTCTGTAGATGAAATATATGGAGATAACGAACAGTAATCCAGCTCAAAAGTCCATTAAACAATACAAATTTTGGAGCAGAGCAAACATGGACCTCTAAAACATCAGAGATCAGGTGTCATGGAGGAGTGAGCATCCCCTGCCGACCCGTCACACCCGCCATGTGCTCCTTGTCATGATCCGGAAATAACAGAAAAATCCGTTGACAATTCAGTGTGTAAATAATTGCCTAATTATCAGGGCACAACATAGAAATAACAATAAATACCCAGTATCTAGTCTATTACATCACAAACAAATATTTCATTTCATTTAAACAGAGGGTACTAGGAAAATGACTAGTACCTGTATAATATCTCTCCTAATTGACTTCATAGGATTTCCATCTAAAACCACCGACTTTAGAGGCTGGATTGTTCCAAGGACAAATGGTAGCCTGCAATGTACATCAATGATACATAGAGACATTACTTCACAAAACAGGCAAATGTTTCTTCATACCAATTCTGTAGTTTGAACAGAACTAGAACTGTCCTACTGGGACTAATACCCCCCCCCCCCCCCCCCCCACTGCAGTTTGTACAGCTATACAAACTTACAAATGGAAAGGCCAGTATAAAAACATAGAAATACATTATTCTCCCCTCATTGAGGAATAGATGCCTCTTCACAATAGTTATTTATTTAAGGCAAGCCTGTTATTAATCCGAGATTCCTCTGACTCTAACCCCTGCTTTTATATTTTGACATGTGCATATGTCAAAATATAAAAGCAGGGGTTAGAGTCAGAGGAATCTCGGATTAGCCTGTTATGAGTGTGCTTTACTGTGATTACTATTAAACTGCTATGTTATAAGTGTGCTTTACTGGGATTATTATTAAACTGCTATGTTATAAGTGTGCTTTACTGTGTTTACTATTAAACTGCTATGTTATAAGTGTGTTTTACTGGGATTATTATTAAACTGCTATGTTATAAGTGTGCTTTACTGTGTTTACTATTAAACTGCTATGTTATAAGTGTGTTTTACTGTGATTACTATTAAACTGCTATGTTATAAGTGTGCTTTACTGTGTTTACTATTAAACTGCTATGTTATAAGTGTGTTTTACTGTGATTACTATTAAACTGCTATGTTACAAGTGTGCTTTACTGTGTTTACTATTAAACTGCTATGTTACAAGTGTGCTTTACTGTGATTACTATTAAACTGCTATGTTACAAGTGTGCTTTACTGTGTTTACTATTAAACTGCTATGTTATAAGTGTGCTTTACTGTGATTATTATTAAACTGCTATGTTATAAGTGTGCTTTACTGTGTTTACTATTAAACTGCTATGTTATAAGTGTGTTTTACTGGGATTACTATTAAACTGCTATGTTATAAGTGTGCTTTACTGTGTTTACTATTAAACTGCTATGTTACAAGTGTGCTTTACTGTGATTACTATTAAACTGCTATGTTACAAGTGTGCTTTACTGTGTTTACTATTAAACTGCTATGTTATAAGTGTGCTTTACTGTGATTATTATTAAACTGCTATGTTACAAGTGTGCTTTACTGTGTTTACTATTAAACTGCTATGTTATAAGTGTGTTTTACTGGGATTACTATTAAACTGCTATGTTATAAGTGTGCTTTACTGTGATTACTATTAAACTGCTATGTTATGAGTGTGTTTTACTGTGTTTACTATTAAACTGCTATGTTATAAGTGTGCTTTACTGGGATTACTATTAAACTGCTATGTTATGAGTGTGCTTTACTGGGATTATTATTAAACTGCTATGTTATAAGTGTGTTTTACTGGGATTACTATTAAACTGCTATGTTATGAGTGTGCTTTACTGGGATTATTATTAAACTGCTATGTTATAAGTGTGCTTTACTGTGATTACTATTAAACTGCTATGTTATGAGTGTGCTTTACTGGGATTATTATTAAACTGCTATGTTATAAGTGTGCTTTACTGGGATTATTATTAAACTGCTATGTTATAAGTGTGCTTTACTGGGATTATTATTAAACTGCTATGTTATAAGTGTGCTTTACTGTGATTATTATTAAACTGCTATGTTATAAGTGTGCTTTACTGGGATTACTATTAAACTGCTATGTTATGAGTGTGCTTTACTGGGATTACTATTAAACTGCTATGTTATGAGTGTGTTTTACTGGGATTACTATTAAACTGCTATGTTATGAGTGTGCTTTACTGGGATTACTCTTAAACTGCTATGTTATAAGTGTGCTTTACTGGGATTACTATTAAACTGCTATGTTATGAGTGTGCTTTACTGGGATTACTATTAAACTGCTATGTTATAAGTGTGCTTTACTGGGATTACTATTAAACTGCTATGTTATAAGTGTGCTTTACTGTGATTATTATTAAACAGCTATGAAATGTTTTATCTGTCAGCTCTAACCCTGTCAGGTTGTTGTTTGTGAGGTCCAATCGTTGTAGTCCACTCAGACATGTGATTTCCTCCGGAAGCTCGGAGATCTTGTTGTCTCTGATGTCCAGTACCGACACGGTCTCCAGGTATTGCAGGTGCTCTGCTGTAATACTGCTTATTTGATTGTTTCCCAGGTGAAGTTCCTGTCAGATATTAGCATCATTGTTTCTTTCCATTTTTATTAACATTTGATGGAGGATCAGGGAGCTCTATACAAAGCTTAGCTTATAATGAAACAATTTAATTTAAGCAAGTATGAGTAGTAGCTTATATAACAGTGTCTGTATGATTCTTCTTTACATCGATATATGGCTAATATGTTCCACTGCAGGGGGATCAACACTCAAGCTTAAATTAAAGTCAGAATTTCCTGTACTTCAAAATCATAAAAAATTAAATACATGTAATTTAAATAAGCTATCCATGCATCAGTTTTTTTCAAAATGTCATCAAAAAAATGGTTTGATATTTATTTAAATCTTCTATCCAAATAAAATCAGTCATCTCAAATTCCTTGATATAAAAAACTTTGATGACATAATAGCATTTTATCATTTTACAACAAATAAATATACATTTTGTGTTACCTATATATACATTAAGTAATTATGGTGACTTTCTGTAATTGACAATAACTTAATATTTTGGGATTGAGCAATCTTGCGATGGTACACTAATATAAGGCTTTCAGTTTAACCCCTGGTTGACAGAAATCTCTGGCCTTTGTTACCTTGAGGTTCTTACAGTTCCTGAGGAGTGGTATCCCCGACAATTTGTTGTGGCGTAGATACAGCTCCTCGAGGTGTAAGAGGTTCCCTAAGTCTCCAGGGAGATGTGTTAACTGGTTATGTGTGGCATCAAGGCATTTCAGAGCTGGTGAAAAATCAATCTCACATAAACAGCTGGTACCACAATTGACTATATTTTTCTGTTTGGCATGGGTAAATCAAGCAAAATTGTTAGAGTCAAAATCATTAATTCATAACTAATGGCACTCATCCATTCATAGCCTAGTTCTGGGGGCTGTTAAGCTTGTTATTGGATATGTTTAATAATCTGATCACATGACTTAGATATCCATCTACTTACCATTCATACAGCCTAGTTCTGGGGGCAGGCTGCTAAGTTTGTTATTGGATACGTTGAATTTGATCACAACTTAGATATCCATCTACGTACCATTCATACAGCCTAGTTCTGGGGGCAGGCTGCTAAGTTTGTTATTGGATACGTTGAATTTGATCACAACTTAGATATCCATCTACGTACCATTCATACAGCCTAGTTCTGGGGGCAGGCTGCTAAGTTTGTTATTGGATACGTTGAATCTGATCACATGACTTAGATATCCATCTACCTACCATTCATACAGCCTAGTTCTGGGGGCAGGCTGCTCAGTTTGTCATTGGATACGTTGAATTTGATCACATGACTTAGATATCCATCTACCTACCATTCATACAGCCTAGTTCTGGGGGCAGGCTGCTAAGTTTGTTATTGGATACGTTGAATTTGATCACATGACTTAGATGTCCAATTTGGGGAGGTAGATCTGACAGCTGATTGTTGCTCAGGTCCTGAAAAAAAATACAAACTATTACTACGTACATCACACCTCTTGCCTAACTCTAAGAGACAAACATAAATGAAAACTGACAGAAGTACTTAAATGATATCTTTCAGTCTTCTTTTCACTTTAAAGGAAGACAACAAACTTTTTCCGTGTGTTAACAGTATATCTTGTAAATTACTTTACACAAATTGTGATTTCTTCTGAAAGTATTTATTTAAAAGGACATAAGCAATCAGAACTATATGTGTCTGTCTATAAGAGGGTGTCTGTGTTTATCCCTGTTCTGTGTCTGTCTACTGGAGGTGTGTCTGTGTTTATCCCTGTTCTGTGTCTGTCTATAAGAGGTGTGTCTGTGTTTATCCCTGTTCTGTGTCTGTCTATAAGAGGTGTGTCTGTGTGTATTCCTGTTCTGCGTGTGTCTGTCTATAAGAGGTGTGTCTGTGTGTATTCCTGTTCTGTGACTGTCTATTGGAGGTGTGTCTGTGTGTATAGCTGTTTACTATTTTCTATCAGTCCAGGGAAAATATTGCTGAAATTTGGAATAAGTACAAAATCTCTCAAATGTAAACTGGGCAAATCTGTGAACTTGCCAAATGCAGCATTTTATAATTCTAATTTCAAAATCATTAGTATTGCCATCAAGCCATAGAAATTAGAATTTTTTCTTAAGATTTTATTTATTTTTCATTTTCTTGAAAAAAAATCTCCTGTAAATCACTTTTTATTCATAAGAATTTTATTTTTTTGTAATTACCTGTGTCTCTCTGTTTGCAAAAATTTCATTCTTGCATACATTTGTATTGTTAAGGATTATATGTACAACAATGGCCACAGCTCATGAAAATTTTGTTTGTAGCTATCTTGCAAAAAAAAACAAACAAACAAACAAACAATGTGTCACAAAAATAAAGTGATCTAATGTCGTTAAATAAAAAAGTTTCCAAAGCAAGAAAGATAATGAGTAATGTTAGAATTGGAGTGGTCATGTTCAGCAAACATGACTGAATTGGCAATGTTTCTGAATTTTTACTTTTCCCACACAGTTATTTATCTACCCACCAGATCTTCAAGTTTGTCCAGATTTCCAATCCTCTCACTAATACTGGTCACCTCATTGTACTCAACATGCAGGCTCTTTAAGTTCCGTAGGTACGTCACACTTTCTGGCAACTCTTTTAGTTTGTTTCGACTAAAAAAACAGAATTCTTATCAAGTTAGTATCAATATATACCCTGTAAAACAATAAAACCCATAATCATGTTTCATTCCATCACCAAAAGCAAGTGAGTGCCTTACCACAAGGTAACTGTGACTGATCACAACTAAGCCCCTTACCACAAAGTTACTGTGACTGACCACAACTAAGTGCCTTACTACTAGGTTACTGTGACTGATCACAACTGAGTACCTTACTACAAGGTAACTGTGACTGATCACAACTGAGCCCCTTAACACTAGGTAACTGTGACTGATCACAACTGAGCCCCTCAACACTAGGTTACTGTGACTGATCACAACTGAGTGCCTTACTACTAGGTAACTGTGACTGATCACAACTGAGTGCCTTACCACTTGGTTACTGTGACTGATCACAACTGAGCCCCTTACCACAAAGTTACTATGACTGACCACAACTGAGACCCTTACCACAAAGTTACTGTGACTGATCACAACTGAGTGCCTTACCACTACTTTACTGTGACTGATCACAACTGAGCACCTTACCACTTGGTTACTGTGACTGATCACAAATGAGCACTTCAACACTAGTTTACTGTGACTGATCACAACTGAGCCCTTTAACACTAGTTTACTGTGACTGATCACAACTAGGACTGTGTATTGAGCAAAAAAATTCGATACAATACAATACAATATTTTATAATGCGATATATGTTATATTGGATTCTTTAATAATCAAAAAAGTCTTACACATCATTAAATAAATGCATGAATTTTATAAAAACACATTGCTTTATAACCCATTTCTAAGTTCTTGTCTCACTGTCATTACAAATTACAACTTTTAATGACTGTGAAATCAACATGTTAAAATAAAGTTGTCTATGTATTTTGTAATATTTATCTAAGATGTGCTATTTGCTTAATGAATATATCATTATTGATCAATTTTAATTCAAAACAGTGAAACTATAACCTTTGGTGATGGAAATTCCCATCTTTTTCACAGAATTATAAGAAAATTTGTCTGTACGATATGTATTGGAAGTTACTTTTTCGATACGATACATTCTTAAATATCGATATGTATCAATATATTGATATATTGATACAGCCCAAATCACAACTGAGCCCCTTACCTCAAGGTTACTTTGACTGATCACAACCAAGTCCCTTAACACAAGGTTACTATGTCTGACCACAACCGAGACCCTTACCACAAAGTTACTGTGACTGATCACAACTGAGCCCCTTACCACAAAGTTACTGTGACTGATCACAACTGAGCCCCTTACTACAAAGTTACTGTGACTGATCACAACTAAGCCCCTTAACACTAGGTTTCTGTGACTGATCACAACTGAGTCACTTACCACAAAGTTACTGTGACTGACCACAACTCAGTGCCTTACTACTAGGTTACTGTGACTGATCACAACTGAGTGCCTTACCACTACTTTACTATGAATGATCACAACTGAGCACCTTACTAAAAGGTAACTGTGACTGATCACAACTAAGTGCCTCACCACTAGGTTACTGTGACTGACCACAACTGAGCCCCTTACCACAAAGTTACTGTGACTGACCACAACTGAGTGCCTTACCACTAGGTTACTTTGACTGACCACAACTGAGTGCCTTACCACTAGGTTACTGTGACTGATCACAACTGAGTGCCTTACCACTACTTTACTGTGACTGATCACAACTGAGCACCTTACCACTTGGTTACTGTGACTGATCACAAATGAGCACTTCAACACTAGTTTACTGTGACTGATCACAACTGAGCCCTTTAACACTAGTTTACTGTGACTGGTCACAACTAGGGCTGTGTATTGAGCAAAAAAATTCGATACAATACAATACAATATTTTATAATGCGATATATGATATATTGGATTCTTTAATAATCAAAAAAGTCTTATACATCATTAAATAAATGCATGAATTTTATAAAAACACATTGCTTTATAACCCATTTCTAAGTTCTTGTCTCACTGTCATTACAAATTACAACTTTTAATGACTGTGAAATCAACATGTTAAAATAAAGTTGTCTATGTATTTTGTAATATTTATCTAAGATGTGCTATTTGCTTAATGAATATATCATTATTGATCAATTTTAATTCAAAACAGTGAAACTATAACCTTTGGTGATGGAAATTCCCAACTTTTTCACAGAATTATAAGAAAATTTGTCTGTATGATGTGTATTGGAAGTTACTTTTTCGATACGATACATTCTTAAATATCGATATGTATCAATATATTGATATATTGATACAGCCCAAATCATAACTGAGCCCCTTACCTCAAGGTTACTGTGACTGATCACAACTAAGTCCCTTAACACAAGGTTACTATGTCTGACCACAACCGAGACCCTTACCACAAAGTTACTGTGACTGATCACAACTGAGCCCCTTACCACAAAGTTACTGTGACTGATCACAACTGAGCCCCTTACCACAAAGTTACTGTGACTGATCACAACTGAGTGCCTTACCACTAGGTTACTTTGACTGACCACAACTGAGTGCCTTACCACTACTTTACTGTGACTGATCACAACTGAGAACCTTACCACTTGGTTACTGTGACTGATCACAACTGAGCACCTTAACACTAGGTTACTATGACTGACAACAACTGAGACCCTTACCACAAAGTTACTATGACTGACCACAACTGAGACCCTTACCACAAAGTTACTGTGACTGAACACAACTGAGCACCTTAACACTAGGTTACAGTGACTGATCACAACTGAGACCCTTACCACAAAGTTACTGTGACTGATCACAACTGAGCCCCTTACCACAAACTTACTGTGACTGATCTCAACTGAGTGCCTTACCACAAGGTAACTGTGACTGATCACAACTGAGCCCCTTAACACAAGGTAACTGTGACTGATCACAACTGAGCCCCTTAACACTAGGTAGCTGTAACTGATCATTCTGAGACCCTTACCACAAGGTTACTGTGTCTTATCTATATACTATTTATGTAACAAGTAACACTGTTTTATTTGTATTACCTTACCACCAGGTTACTCTGACTGGTCTATATTCTGTTTATGTAATAAGTAACGTTGTGTCATTTGTTTTACCTTACATCAAGCTTGACAAGGTTATCCAGCTCTCGCAAACTCTGTGGCAAAGATTCCAGTCTGTTATCATGAATCTGTAGGAATAAAAGATCATGGAATATATCAAAAAGACAGATGATGTTTGTTACATTCAGATAAAAAAGCCACAACTCTGAAGTGCACACAGAGTAATACATCAATCACACACAGTGCTAAGTCAAGGTTTGTTTATGTCACTAATTATTTTTAAGTATGATAGAGGAAATGATGTGGCCTCTATAAACACTGTTTTAAAAATACCCTTCCCATTTTTATTCTAGGGTAGAAAAAAACCCACCTTACTGTAACTTTTTTTTAAAATAATCCATTCAATATAAATAGCAGTACATGGGTAATGACAAAACATTTTCCTTCCATGTACCATGTATTTTATGATAAATTCTGACATACCTCATCTATTACAAAAAACTAGAGGTATTGTGAGCATTGAGCTCACAAAATGATACCCCCTGCCTCCACATAAGTACAATGGCAAAGTCTACGTTTTGCTGTAGGAAACCCTAAATATCTGTCCGATCAGAATATACAATGGAACTATGTAATAAAGATTTGTAAAAGTCTCATTATAATGATTATATTCTACTCAGTGGTCTAGGAGGAGCTGCAGATAGGGGATGGCTACTCCAAGGGTAACGGATGTACAGCCACTCTCTTAACTATATACCCTCTGCTTTTCAAGCAGGGGGTATAAACCTCCCCCCTTTCCTTTTTTAGTATTCTTACGATACATATGGGCACAAACACTTACAGTTACTATTGTTTTCAAACTCTCAATTCTCTATATATTTAGCCCCATTCCCAGAAATGTTAGGTAGATATTTTTAATGTGATTAAAGAAGGAGAGTTGCAAAGGAAGAGGGATTTATACTACATGTATGAAATTTGATAGGGAGTATGGGATAATGAAGTAACATACTACTGTCCCTTTTACACTTATTTCTTCAAATATTTTAACTCATGTAATAACAAATATGATTTAAAGTACCAGGTAATATAGATACTTGCATCTAGCACAGTCAAAGCTGGGAAATTGGAAATGTCTGGAGAGATTTCAGTAAGGAGGTTTGAGGCCAGAATAAGCTTGGTCAGGTCGGTTTGTTCCCACCATCTATCCTCTGTATTATCTAGGCTGACTTCTCGAGCTTCCTCCGGAACATCAATGTTCAGTCTCCATACTGCATCAGGAACTGCAAGAAAATGAATGCCACATGTGTCTTCTGTAGGATATGATCCTTGTATAGATATTTTGACCAATACAGTTATTCATTTAGAAGAAATTAATGTTCTTTATGAACATTTGTCCAACATCATAAAACTACCCTGCACAATGACACATGACAATGTATTAAAATGCATCTGTCAGGTCCAGCACATTTTCTTCTTTAAGCTGTATAACTTGAATTAGCTATAATATCTCTATTAAGAATAGCTTAATTTAGTTTTTTTATCACACTGTTTTCGTAAATGTGTTATTTTTCTCAGCATGTACAAAAAAATCGAAACTTGGTGCAGGAATAGTATTGAACTCTGAACTCTTCTAAAAATGATACATAAAACATTTTGATGATAAACTGCATATAAAGAGCTTTATCAAGCTATTCTGAATAGCTTATTAAACCTATAAAGCTAATTCAAGCTACATAGCTAAATCAAGAAGTTATGCTTATAAATACTAAATAAGGTAAATAATAAATAGGTATTTAATATCAATTAAGAAAACAATTGAGGTAAATTATCAAAAGCATTAATTGTTCAAAGTTCATAGATCTTAGTTCATTTAAACAGTATACTCGATCTCCTAATTTTACGTACTTTTTCGTTTGTATTCATTTTTTTTTTTTACCATGTATCACATTTCAAAATTTTTTGTTTACATAAACTTCTCTATCTGGGCATAATGATTTTTTAAGAGGAATACCTCCATTACGAGTGTATGCCTTTTTATGAATCAGTGCTTAAATTGTGCTAGATGACCCATTGTTTCAACAAAGAGCCTTTGTCATGTTTGTAGCGGGTAGAGGGATTGATTCAATGACCACCCCGCACAAGAATGACTCATGATCATTCCCATACGGGCGGGGATAGTTAGAATAATCTAACTGTGTCTCAGGACAAGCCCTCACCACATAAACCGGGTCCGTAGGACAATATCATTTTAACGATAGAACATTCTATCTAGGGCGGGGAGGGCGAGCTTTATACCTGTTGATAAATTTCGTCCGGATAAATTAAGTTGCCCTGATCGCCGAGCTTGTTTCAGAATAGTCGGGTGAACGCCTTTTTCTTCGATGGGTTTTTGAAAACCCGATCTACTATTTGCGAAAGGCTTCCTACCTCTTGTTGCCATTTGGGATTTTGATCGGTTTACATGATATACCTTTTGTAACTTCACACACTGAAGAGGGCAGTTGGTGGATCTAGCCAGTTAATATAAACAAATTCATTTTTTTAAACATTTCTAAATAAATCTACAAGTGCTTGTCAACTTAAAAAAGAATTAAAAAAAAAAAGCTAACCGCTTCTGTGTTTGATATTTTTTTTTACGGATCATGGAATAACGGCGGTAAACCAATATGTATTTCATGGGCGGATCCATAGGGCGCTCAGGCTAATTTCGAAATGAATATTATTTCCTTTATTTCTTATAATACCCATTGCCGTTAATCAGCCAGTAAACAGCGCTAAGCAAGCAAACTGCATAGATTTCTTAGGCAACGGCTGTTCCATCAATTATGCATACAATGACATACATATCTATAATACAATATTTAAGGAAGCTCTAAACACTAACAGAAAGTGCTTTTTGGACTTGGAGAAAAATATGTCATATAAAGGTGTGCATATTGAGTCTATTTAGTGCATGTTCAACATAGGATACCTGCCTTATTTCTGCAGGAAAAATGTTCAAAGACAATGGACTATGCATGAGCAGAAATCACTGCTGTTTACTTACATTGAGAAAATTAATGGAAAAAATGAATTCAGTTACTTATTCTCTGTCTGATATAATGCTAGGAATATTCTGATCTATTACAAATTGTGTAATTAACTGTAAACAACTGTTTGTTCTATCTTAATTCTAAGGGCAGATCACTCTAACTGCATAAAACTACTCCATAAGTAGAACTCTTTAGTGTGCAGTGTTTAGAGCTTCCTTAACGTATTTAATTTACTTTGAATGTTTTTTTAATAAAGATATATAGGATCTCCCATGATTTGTAGTTGGATATGATTTTTATCCAACGAGTTGTGTGTTTTTTATCACCGAGCTTTGGCGAGGGGATAAAAACACACAACGAGTTGGATAAAAGTCATATCCAACTACAAATCATGGGAGATTCTTTTTATCTTATGTTTAATACTTCACAACCAATGTTTTACACTGTTTTATATAGGACTCCACTTTATTTTACTTCATCGCGCTAACGCAAAAACCATTGTGACGTCACAACTGTGGATTATGAAAAAATTATCCAATGAGTCATATCCACGGGATAAAGGGGTAAACATGGGATAAATAAATATAAACAATGAAATGTCTTTATATGCTTGTTAGTACGGGAATTAACCTTGCAGCTATTGCAGAAAAAATTCACATAACCCGCTTACGCGGGTTATGTATTTTTTATGCAATAGCTGCGACATTAATTCCCGTACTAACAACCAAAGAAAGCATTTTATTGTTTAAATGATAATTCAGTATATACTCTATCCACCCCTCTATATTACTAAATCAACACGTGTTCATTTTGTAATATAGAGGGGTAGATCTATATAGACTTATCATTTCGTCATTTACGAAATTATAGATGGGAAGCGCCTATGGGCAGATCCAGGGACGCCCATATCTTCAAACAAAACAAACAAACAACAAACAAAACAAAACAAAAACAGAAAAACCCAACTCAATTTTTTTGACAAATAAGCAAGCAAAAATGAAAAAGGAAATAAAAAAATCAAAAGTCAAGATCAATTGTACCGAAACAGGGAAAATTCTACTGATTTCTACTGGGCTCCGAGCCCCCCTCCTCCCCAATGAAATAAAAGCTCAGTCGTTTTAACCAACTTGAAAGGCTGTCACCAGGGGCCTGTAAAATGAACAAGTCGCCTAAGTTTCTGACTAATACATGGCTTAGGCGCAGCTTTAGGATCTGCCTAAGTCCTTTGTTATCCGGTAATATAATCTCTCTCTCTCTCTCTTTATATTTATATATATATTGAATATAAATTGACGTTTTATCATAAAATCCATATTACAATTCGCTAAATATTGAGATAAAGGAGATTTTTTTCAGGTTATTTTGGTCTGCCCCCAACTGACCATGAGGAACAGCCGATCTCTCTCTCTCTCTCTCTCTCTCTCTCTCAAGGGGATGGGCCCTGTATCCAAAGCACGTACTTTTTATAAGGTTTTTATATTGTCACGTTCTCTTGCTCACTGACCATTTTTCTGTCTTTTATTATCCTTTCCTTTCTCAAGTTTTCAAGTGGATATGTATACAAATCTACCTTTCTTTTGTATAATTGTTTGCTTATAGTAAAAATGTTTATAAGCTATTAAGTATCCAAACCCTATAACATTCTGCTTGCATGCCATGTTAAGTCTTATTAAGATCAATGTTCAATAAATCTGTTTTTCAACCTAAAATTTGCAGTATATGTACCATTATTACTTACTTATTCTCACGCCCCTCCTCCTGAGAGGGCGTTTATATAATTAATAAGCATAGTCTTAGACTTAAATACCCTTTATGTAACGAACCTCAGGTATCTTGAAGGGGGTGCGGGGAGAGTCTGAGAGGAGTACCTCCACCCATAGTCAGAAAATATTTCATATAAATGGACACCATTTCGGTTGGTTTTATTCTTTCTGGAAGTAATAAACAAATTCTAGCAGCAGTTTTTAGCTAATACAATTTAAACAAATGATTAATTAATTTATTTTTAAAATATAATTCATATATCGAAGTAGACTTGCTCAAGTCTCTATGTTGTTTTTTTAAATTAAATAATTCTTTGTTCATTTTTGTCTTGTAGTCCTTTGCTCTCCCTCATAGTTAAATGTTATCAAACATAGTTTATCTATGTTTGACATTATCAAAAATTATGAAAGAGAACACAAAAACATAGAGACTTGAGCAAGTCTAATATAGAAGTCAAGGTGGTTTGAAACCAAAAGCCAAATCGAATAGACATACCGCATTGAAAGGATACCAGAATTATATTTATTCTTTTCAGATTGTAAAATTCACAAACAAAAAAAAAAAATAATTATGATTGTAAATTAAACCTGTAACGTTTCTTAGAATGCAGTAATTAGCAAAGAGCATCTGATTTTAATGACAATTAATACATTTTGAGCCCCCTCCCCCTCCTTTAAGTTGACATTTATTTAATTTGGAAATCATTTAATCACTAATTGTATTTCAAATAAAAATTTGAGGAGGACCGAGAATTTCGTGATTCTTACTGATTATTTCCCGATTTCTAATTTACTTTACAGGTTTTATTCTTCATTCCATATGTAATTAATATTGAATTAAATTTTTTCCGATTTTATCATCAACAAATGAAATGAGTGATGCATATATGTATATTATGGTATCATATATTTAGTAAATTTAACTATATATTTATTTTTATATCAATCCATGATCATGAAATACATGAAATATACAGTACACTTATGTATTATTCTTAGGTGTCCGCCATTTTCAGATTAACACGTACGTCAGTCGTCGATTGCGTTTCTGTTGTTTAGAAATTACCCACTGCATATTCAGCCTCATAGAAACTGAAATGAATGTAACATTTTTAAAAGCAAAAAACTTATTGAGACGTTAAGTATAGTAAAAAGGCCACCGAGCAGATTGACAGAAAAATATATAGGTCGTCAAAACAAAACGAACTGCTATAATAGTAATAAAAACAAATAAAATTGTAAATGCAGGGGTTACTTGAAAATTATAACTTATTTTATTGTTTATTTATTGTATAATAAATATTTTTACAGACTCCTGCGCTATATAAAAAATTCTTATAAATTTCCACAACAGAAGCAGGTCGATCGTTAACCACGCGCTAAAATCTGTGTTTCACATACCAACATTTTCTACTTAATTACTCTAATGAAATCATTTTTTCCGAAATTGTCTTTTAATTTTCAAATGCATACACATTCAAATTATCATTTCAAAGTTATTAAAATATTATTTTAACATAATTTAGCAAAGATTTTTCATATTTTATGCACCAAAACCCATTTTTTGCTTTAGAATTTCTGACTTGATATGAGGATTTTATCGTTCTTACAAGCTAAATGGTGTTCAATTTTGTTTGAAATTAAAGATTAGAATGTTTTTCATAATTGACAAAAATTACTCTTTGCTTAGTGCGTGCGGTTAACTTGCAAAGCAAGTTCAAAGTTATGGAGGAGACACATTTTATGTTATTTCTTTGTCGGCCATGTAAACTTAGCGCTTATCGATTGGGTGCTTTCAACGACGTCCGCGCTCCTATGATATAAAGCGACGCGGTCGGTTTAAACTTTAGTTCGCATTTGTGCTTACATTAGAACGGGCTAAACCGCTTCGTGGAAGAAACAAGAAAATGGCAGATAACGCACCAGCTCCGGCTAAGAGCCCTAAGAAGAAGGCAGCAGCAAAGCCTAAGAAGCAAACAGAGCACCCTAAGTATCTCGACATGGTTCTGGATGCCATCAAAAATCTGAAAGAGAGGAAGGGATCCTCCCGCCAGGCCATCCTAAAGTACGTTATGAGCAAATACAAGGTGGGCAACGACGCTACAAAAGTCAACTCTCGTGTCAAAGCGGCCCTAAGGAAAGGCGTGACGAGCAAGGCGTTGAAGCAGAGCAAGGGGGTAGGTGCCCAAGGCAGATTTAGCGTGGGAGAGAAGAAAGCCGTCGTGAAAAAACCAAAAGCCGCCAAATCAAAGACCGCCAAGAAGCCTGCAGCAAAGAAACCCAAAGCAGCCAAGAAAACAGCAGGAGAAAAGGCAAAGAAAGTCAAGAAATCGCCAAAGAAAGCAAAGACAGCCAAGCCCAAGACTGCCAAACCAAAGACAGTTAAAAAGTCACCAAAGAAAGCCAAGGCAGCCAAACCCAAAAAGGCCAAGACTCCAAAGAAGGCAGCCAAACCCAAGAAGGCAAAAACACCCAAAAAGGCAGCAGCCAAGAAATAAACGTTCTCTGGAGAACTGGCTGCTTCAAGCAGTACTTTAACAAACAAAAGCCCTTCTTAGGGCTACCAAATTTTTCGAAAAGATGCCTCTGAACAAAACGTGAAAGAAACGTTAAACTAATGTATCTTGGGACATTTGTATGTGGACAGGCTCTCGCCTACATCCATGGATGTAGGCGAAAGACTGTCCACTTGGATGTAGGTGAAAGCCTGTTCACTAGGGACATTTAATGTTGTTGGATTGACGAAGTTTATCAGTCTAACAACACTTGTATGTCAGAGACATTAACATTATTTAAAATGAATATGTAGCTCGATCTAGAATCAGTAGTCTTATAAATGGGTGGATGCAGGATATTTTTCCAGGAGGGGTGGGAAGTGGTTGGTTCCACACCAACTGTAAACATGTCAGACTCGAAATTTTTTGACCCCCCCCCCCCCAAAAAAAAAACTTGCTTAAATCAGGGACCTATAGAATAGAATAGGATTTATTACCAAATCAGGGCCCAAATGGGCATAAACATATAACATGTATGATTACAGATAACTAGTGTTAGTATTTAGGTCCCTGCTTAAATATGAAAGATCATATTTCGTGAGGTGTGTGTGTGTGTGTGGGGGGGGGGGGGGGGGGTCCAAGTTCATCTTTGTCTCTCCTCGCCGTTTTAATGGGGTCCGTGCATCCAACGGGGTGTCCAAGCTCATTTTTTCTTTACTTTTACATAGAAATTTAATAACTCTGAAAAATGGGACCCCCCCCCCCCCCAATTAAATATAATACTATCTAAAATGGACTTACTGTGTCTGGGGACAAGCCCTCACCAGTGGATCAGTAGGACAATATCGTTTTAACGAAAGAAAACTTTCTATCTAACTAGTCCATTTGGAAAATATGAATAACATTTATGAAATATAAATAGTCTACAACTTTTCCGGAAATTTGCGTGTTTATTTGACTTTTACATTGATTGTTTATGCAAAAACTGAAAAAAAGTGCGAAACGTTCGGAGGGAAAAAAAACGTTTCTGAGAAGATCACCGACACGGTAAGACTAGGCTTATCATGAACAGACTGATGAAATATAACAGGTTTTTAATTTGAACATTTTTTTTATTTGAGGTTTTTTATTTGAAATATGACAATAGGAAAGAAAAGAAACATGCCTCACTTAGGTGTGAATGGCTATGAGTCCTGCATGCCCAGGTGAAAATCGTAGAAAAAAATCTACCCAAACACATTTATAATGTGGAAAGTTAACTTTGCCATGGAAAACGATGCCAACATATATTTACATCTCGGAGAGTTGTGCACACCTCTTAGTCGTAGTAATGCATCAATGATGAATATTATAGGCCTATGTTTTCCAAGTTGAATTAATACCCCGTGGTTGTACACTACAAAAGTGGATCAACTTAGCTTACATAGCCCACAGGCAACTGCATTTTTATCAGTAATTGGGAAATAAAGCCCTAGAACAACAAAAATCCTACCTCCTCAGTTTATAAATACAATACCTGGACACAGGTAGGTATGTTCGTTTTAGGTATAGTTTGAAGTGATGGTATGGGTTATATCACAAATATGACATTGAAAGATAATTTAAAATTTAAAAGAAAAAAGTTGAAAAAGCCTGTGGTCTATATCGGGAGGGGGGTTCCTGTCCTCAGGCACTTGCGTATACACAGTATGTACATGTATTTACATATATACAGTGGGGATGTTATTTTCTTTCTAGGGCTTTATCAATATTTGCTACTTAATGATAAAAATTCAGCTGTACATAGCTTAAGCTTTGCCTGCCACTTCTTTAAATAGAGTATAACAGGTGGAAAGAAATTGTGGCAGATCAGAACAGGATTTGAACCATGTCCCCAAATTCTACACTTGTGTTCTACCAACAGGGCTTAATCAAACTGCGTGTCTCATTCTTCCTTCCATGCCCCAGAAGACACCACCCCTGGTATGCTCTTCCCCAGGAGATCTTTTACCTGTCTGTTTTAAAAAAATTTACCAAATTTAATGGGAAGGGAGCGACTTTGATGGACAAGACATGATTCAAGACTGGGTCCCCTGAACTCTAGACAGGTGCATTATCAACTGAACTATTTGACCACTGTTGAACAAACTTGCTTGACCACGACATGTGGGTGACATGTATATAAAGATGTGTATTAATTTAAGAGGTGTCTAAAGACTTTCATTTTTTTGGAAAGTTAGTGAGTTTGATTTCTCACACAAGCATATTATATCAAGCCTAATAGCTGTGAAATAGTAACAAAAAGTTTATATATCCAGGGATAGATATCCTCATAGCCTTTTATCTTTGTATAGAGGGAGGTTTTAACTATTAAGCTAATCGTGACATAAGTTTCAATTTATTACAAATTGTAAGGAAGTTCTGTAAATTGTAAATATTAAGTTTCTCTTAATTTACCCTGTGTCATAACTAAGGTTGGGTAAAGAATTAAAACGGAAATTTTTTGTGGTAAATACAATTTATTTTGGGGGAGGAAAAGGGGGAGTATATACTGATACTTTTTCTCTGTAATATATTCAAAATAATAATAAAGTTCCTTTTGCAGCTAAAAAATATACAAAATATTTTTAAAAAGAATTAGATATTGAAACTAAAAAAAAAAAATTAATATTGTGAATGATTTATTTTTTTCCCCCATGGATGTAATATGAAGATGCCTATTTATTTGTATGTATTAGACCATTTGTATCTTCAAATACTGGTTCAGGTGTGGGCCACATAAGGGTTGAAATGTTAAATGAAAGGTATTCCAGAATAAGATACAAATATTCTTGTTTAAACTATGTCACAAATTTATAAAAGATTCATTGATTACAGGAAGACATAGCTACAATTTTGTCAGACCAACATGTAAGCATCCTCACAGATGTGTCTAGGACAGAACCACGTTTTTTTTTTTTTAAATTATACATCATTCCTTTCAGAGAAGAGTGATTTGAATGGCCCTGGGGCTTCTTGTTTCTGCTGTTTTACTTTCAACTTCCAACATTTTTATCACTGAATTTTAACGCAGTTGTCCATACCTGCATGCAGATATGTAAATCAATTGTTCTCCATTTTGTTCATTGGCAGAAAGTTCTAGTCTGTTCAAAACTAGGTGAAGAAATCCAATGCATCTCTTGTAATTTATTGCCTCTTTTTATCATGTGATCCGTTTTACTTTTTATTATGGCTCAATTTCTGCATGAGCGAGCATACAGGTAGATAATACCTAACAAAAACTAACAGAGTCTGAATAGATTGAGAAATTACAAAACTTTGGTATTTACTAAATGGTTACACTGCAGCAATAAATGAGAGAATCTTCGTGACTGAGTTTGAATGAACCAAGGTCTATTTTTAGGATTGGGCTTTTAATAAATGTGCTTTTAAACATTTTAGGTCGGACTGTGTGACGAATAGCCCGCTTCAAGTTGGATAACTGAAGATTAAATAAGGTCAGTTACTTACACATTTTTACCACAGTAAGCTGATTAATAACTTGTGAAGAGATCTACTTCATATATAAATATGACAGATATGTACATTCTCCAGATCTAGGAGCAATCAAGTGGAACTTAACATCAAAATACCTGAACATGTATACTAACATCAATACACAGCGATTCCTCTATATACTCAGGTGACTTAGTTGTACAGTAAATTATGAGTTGTGATTAATACTACTAATTAACATATATCAAAAGAAAGGATTATACAATAATTTGGTTAGTGTAGTAAATTTATGTTACAAACAAAGCCTTCTATTAAGGATTTAGGAATATTTGTGGTTGACCTAATATCCAGGCTTGTTCGCTGAATCAATGAAGATTGACTAAATATAGACATAAGTAACATTGATCTCATATCTGTTTTGTATAGACGGTTTATACTGCTGTAGATGTGTTTTTCCAGGGAAATATTACCATTATGAAGAGAATTTTAAAGTGCTTCAGTTCTGCGACATGTAAACATTTATCATACAATGATGTCTGATTTAGATCAGTATTTGGTACTGTGTAGGTTTTGTGAGTACACAGGTACAAGTACTACTTGTTAATTATGCTAATGTCCTCATTTCAGTACATGTATTTGTCATACGTATACTGACACAAATTAACATAATTTCTTTTTCTAAAGTACATAGTGCTGAGAGTGCTTGTATTTCTTGGGCTGAAATGTATTTTATTTTTCAGTTTGTGCGTACAGTATTAATTTGGGTTAAAGTGGGTATATATATACCTATAGTATTGGACAAAAACATATACATGTAATAAACATAAATAAGGATCAAATTTCATCATAATTTTGTACAGTCAGGTCTTTAAAATGTTCTGGTTGAAGGATTTCCTTTTTCACTGGAAACTGTCGTACATATTGCCCTATATAGAGATCCAGATTTATTTATTATGGAGGAGGTTTGCTAAGTCCTAGTTTAGGCCATGTCAAATTAAATTTTAGATTCTCATCCTAGTTTGCTTAAAAATTGGGGTGGGTGGGCGAATTTTATTTTTAAAATATCTATGCATAAACGTCCTTCTTACACAAAATTTTGACACTGTTCAGGGAGGACCCATGTCTGAAATGTCTTTTTGTGAATTATTTGAAAATTCTATATTTTTTTATTGTCACTTACTTATAAATATTAGGCAGTAAAAAAATATACCTTTACATGCTGATTTTCGTGTCACAGCACATGCAAGAACAGACTGTTTTAGTTACAAAACAGTGCTGCTCTGAAGTTGAACAACAGAGGTCCCCCGTAATGTAAATATGAAAGAAATTTATTATTTATTCTCTAAATATCTGCAGAAAAATCTTCTTATATAAGTTATTTACATCATTAATTATTTAGTAAATGCGTATACACGTCACACACACTACTGCTACTGTACAAGGTACACTGTTCCTGTACGACTGTGCGATGTAGTCACCACTTCTCATCAGCCTTTTTCTAAAATATACCTATTAGTTTGACCAACAAATTCTTTTGTTTTGTTTGAAAATATCGTAGTTTTCCATTCCTTCATAACATCCAATTTTAAATTTCCTTCTTGGCATGAAATTGTCAACATTTTTGCTAAATGGGGTATCTGCTGAACAGTTCTTTTACACCATTTTCTGTAGCACTTTAAAGTTTGTCAATTTTTTTAAAATACTAAATAACGTACAATTGCTATGAGCTGCTTTTAAATAAATTTTCTTCATCTCTTTTGCTATATTTTTACTTATTTCAGATCTCTTTAAAAACATATACCTACAAGTAGATGTATCAAAGCTTAATATAGCTGTTATTTTGAGTTTTTTCTGCCTTCTCTATACAGGTATATTAATTTCTTCTACACTTGTACATATACCGTACTGCTTTTCTTGCAGACTTTCAGGACTCTGTTCTCCATAATCCTCTGTGCTAAAAATAGCACCAGGAGACTTTTAATACAAACAGGCAGTAAATCTAAAACTCTAAAAAAATTTCTCTGATCGATGCCAATTTTAAAATTGATATAAAAAAAACAACAAATAAAAAACAACAGGGTGGAGGGGGCGGGGCCTTTTGAGAGGATGAGAATCTAAACTTTAATTTTATCTGGCCTTATAAGGAAGTAGGAGAATCAGATATTATTATTTGGTATGCAGGAGCAGTGCACAGTAAGTATTACTTTAATTTTCAACAACTGAAAATTAAAGGCAGAAAATTAAGAAAAAGCCATTTACAATTATTACTAAAGTGATTGATATCTGCATAGCATGTCTACTAAATGTTGTTTTGTTTGAATAAATAGATTCATCTCATCCATTAGTCTACTTAAAAAAAAAAAGTTTTAAAATGTTACAGTCAAACACGTTTCAGATGGAAGGAAGATGTATATTCTTATGACATTGTACCATACTAGTTAAATTCCAATATAAATGGGGTCTATTTAATCTGTACGTGAAATAATTAATTTAGTAGGCTATATTAAGGAGCAATGTAATGCTTATATCTAATGAGGATGACCTTTTCTTATCATAATTGTCTAAAATCATACACAAGTACGTGTAGATAAGAAATTGATTATTTTTTTTTTATGATACCACCATTAAAGTTGATGTTGGTCCTTGACTTGGATTTTGATATGATATCAGTTTGAAACATGTTTGAAACTTGATCTCTGCTGTAGATGACTTTATATGATTATCTCCCTTAACTTTTTACATTCATAGTAAAGCAGGTGAACCATCAAAGCAATTTACTTAGGTCTTGAAATTTGACTTCATCATTGGTAAATTAGACTTGGCCTTGACATTTGACTTCATCATTGGTAAATTAGACTTGGCCTTGACATTTGACTTCATCATTGGTAAATTAGACTTGGCCTTGACATTTGACTTCATCATTGGTAAATTAAACTTGGCCTTGACATTTGACTTCATCATTGGTAAATTAGACTTGGTCTTGACATTTGACTTCATCATTGGTAAATTAGACTTGGCCTTGACATTTGACTTCATCATTGGTAAATTAGACTTGGCCTTGACATTTGACTTCATCATTGGTAAATTAGACTTGGCCTTGACATTTGACTTCATCATTGGTAAATTAGACTTGGCCTTGACATTTGACTTCATCATTGGTAAATTAGACTTGGCCTTGACATTTGACTTCATCATTGGTAAATTAGACTTGGCCTTGACATTTGACTTCATCATTGGTAAATTAAACTTGGCCTTGACATTTGACTTCATCATTGGTAAATTAGACTTGGTCTTGACATTTGACTTCATCATTGGTAAATTAGACTTGGCCTTGACATTTGACTTCATCATTGGTAAATTAGACTTGGCCTTGACATTTGACTTCATCATTGGTAAATTAGACTTGGCCTTGACATTTGACTTCATCATTGGTAAATTAGACTTGGTCTTGACATTTGACTTCATCATTGGTAAATTAGACTTGGCCTTGACATTTGACTTCATCATTGGTAAATTAGACTTGGTCTTGACATTTGACTTCATCATTGGTAAATTAAACTTGGCCTTGACATTTGACTTCATCATTGGTAAATTAGACTTGGCCTTGACATTTGACTTCATCATTGGTAAATTAGACTTGGCCTTGACATTTGACTTCATCATTGGTAAATTAGACTTGGTCTTGACATTTGACTTCATCATTGGTAAATTAGACTTGGCCTTGACATTTGACTTCATCATTGGTAAATTAGACTTGGTCTTGACATTTGACTTCATCATTGGTAAATTAAACTTGGCCTTGACATTTGACTTCATCATTGGTAAATTAGACTTGGCCTTGACATTTGACTTCATCATAGGTAAATTAGACTTGGTCTCGACATTTGACTTCATCATTGGTAAATTAGACTTGGTCTTGACATTTGACTTCATCATTGGTAAATTAGACTTGGCCTTGTCATTTGACTTCATCATTGGTAAATTAGACTTGGTCTTGACATTTGACTTCATCATTGATAAATTAGACTTGGCCTTGACATTTGACTTCATCATTGGTAAATTAAACTTGGCCTTGACATTTGACTTCATCATTGGTAAATTAGACTTGGTCTTGACATTTGACTTCATCATTGGTAAATTAGACTTGGCCTTGACATTTGACTTCATCATTGGTAAATTAGACTTGGCCTTGACATTTGACTTCATCATTGGTAAATTAGACTTGGCCTTGACATTTGACTTCATCATTGGTAAATTAGACTTGGTCTTGACATTTGACTTCATCATTGGTAAATTAGACTTGGCCTTGACATTTGACTTCATCATTGGTAAATTAGACTTGGTCTTGACATTTGACTTCATCATTGGTAAATTAAACTTGGCCTTGACATTTGACTTCATCATTGGTAAATTAGACTTGGCCTTGACATTTGACTTCATCATTGGTAAATTAGACTTGGCCTTGACATTTGACTTCATCATTGGTAAATTAGACTTGGTCTTGACATTTGACTTCATCATTGGTAAATTAGACTTGGCCTTGACATTTGACTTCATCATTGGTAAATTAGACTTGGTCTTGACATTTGACTTCATCATTGGTAAATTAAACTTGGCCTTGACATTTGACTTCATCATTGGTAAATTAGACTTGGCCTTGACATTTGACTTCATCATAGGTAAATTAGACTTGGTCTCGACATTTGACTTCATCATTGGTAAATTAGACTTGGTCTTGACATTTGACTTCATCATTGGTAAATTAGACTTGGCCTTGTCATTTGACTTCATCATTGGTAAATTAGACTTGGTCTTGACATTTGACTTCATCATTGATAAATTAGACTTGGCCTTGACATTTGACTTCATCATTGGTAAATTAAACTTGGCCTTGACATTTGACTTCATCATTGGTAAATTAGACTTATCTCTGATGTGGTTGACTTATTTTGATATCTCTTAGTATAACCCCAAGTATATAATTATGACTTAATTTTGATATCTCTTAATATAAACCCAAGTAAATAATTATGACTTAATTTTGATATCTCTTTATATAAACCCAAGTAAATAATTATGAATTGCTTTCTTGAGTGCAATTTAAGTTGACCCTGACCTTTGACATTGAGACTGGAAGTTGTAGATGTATAGATGCTAACCTTTAAGTGACATCATAAGTATCATTTTCAAATCATGTACAGTTAAACCTCGTTATCTTGAACTTGATGGGACTGAGGAAAAACTCTGAGGTATCCAAGGATCTGAGATATCAGGGGTAAAATACTTAGAGAATAAGTGCTTGAGACTACTAAAAAACTTTGACATATTCATGGTATTTGAGATATCAGTGTTCAAAATACCGAAGTTCAACTGTATATAAATAAATTTAGATGCAGTATTTTGAATACCAAGGTGTACATATATGTTGATTTTCACCTTAACCTTTTCAAAAACTAGTGATTCAAAGATCCACTGTCTTCATGATTTTTTTATTTGGAATTAGATATACATTTTGTTGGAAAGTACTTTAAACTCTTTAGGAAAGGAGAAATTATAGCTATATATTTAAGTAAAATTCAGTGTGTTTATTATGTTTGAACTTTACAGTCCCTCTGACTGAGATGTTAAGCTTATGAAGATGACTCTGGTCAAAGCTGTACTGTCTGTGATAATAACAGGGCACCTGCTGATGGCAGGTAAGTGAATGAAAGAGCAGGTATAAGGTCAGGTACTTTAGTAGTATCAGGTTTAAAAACTTGCCTTGTGAGATTAAATGTTGCGCAGTTTGGAATTCACCCATTAAGAGTAAGGATGCACTTGGTAAAAATAAACTTTAGTAAATTTCTCAAAGTATGCAGTAAGAGCAATGTTAAATACTAGTACACCATAAAGATTTCTACTTACCATTTATGTAAAATATCAAAATTGTCAAATTTTAACACTTGAATTTTACAAAATATTCATGAGAGAGAGAGAAAGAGAGAGAGAGAGAGAGTTTTGCATGGAAGCATTATCAGCTATTAAACCTCTTTTGTTAAATAAATATTTATTATACCTCTTCTGATCTTTCCCTATATTATAAGATTAGATCATTAGATGTGAATGCCCTAGAAATCACTGTGAATGAAATAATCCCCGTTTTGCCATGTGTTAGTAATGTGAGGTACTGTGGTTTCGTCATTATTTGTGGAACACCATTTTTCGTGGATTTCGTTGTTGAGTCGATCCACGAAATCAAATGTTCATCGAAGTTTGGTGCCTCCATTTTGATTTATGATAAACCTTTTAAAAACCTAGTACGACTTTCGTTAATATATGTGAATACCCCCCCCTTTTTCCCCAACAGGTTGGCTTTATAAACCTATTTTATCATTTTAAAGAATATTTTTAGCTCACCTGAGCTGAAAGCTCAAGTGAGCTTTTCTGATCACCCGTTGTCCGTCGTCGTCTGTCCGTCCGTCTGTCTGTCTGTCCGTCTGTAAACTTTTCACATTTTCGACTTCTTCTCAAGAACCACTGGGCCAATTTTAACCAAACTTGGTACAAAGCAACCTTGGGTGAAGGGGGGTTTAAATTGTTAAAATAAAGGGCCAAGTCCCCTTCAAAGGGGAGATAATCAAGAAAATACAAAAATTGGGTGGGGTCATTAAAAAATCTTCTTCTCAAGAACCACTAGGCCAGAAAAGCTGAAACTTATCTGGAAGCATCCTAAGGTAGTGTAAATTCTAAATTGTTCAAATCATGACCCCCGGGGGTAGGGCGGGGCCACAATAGGGAATCCAAGTTTTACATTGAAATATGTAGTAAAAATCTTTAAAAATCTTCTTCTCAAGAACCACTGGGCCAGAAAAGCTGAAACTTATGTGGAAGCATCCTGGGGTAGTGTAGATTCTAAATTGTTCAAATCATGACCCCCAGGGGTAGGGCGGGGCCATAATAGGGAATCCAAGTTTTACATTGAAATGTATAGGAAAAATCTTTAAAAATCTTTTTCTCAAGAACCACTGGACCTGAAAAGCTGAAACTTATGTGGAAGCATGCTTGGGTAGTGTAGATTCTAAATTGTTCAAATTATGACCCCCGGGGGTAGGGCGGGGCCACAATAGGGAATCCAAGTTTTACATTGAAATATATAGGAAAAATCTTTAATAAAAATCTTCTTCTCAAGAACCACTGGGCCAGAAAAGCTGAAACTTATCTGGAAGTATCCTGGGGTAGTGTAGATTCTAAATTGTTCAAATCATGACCCCGGGGGTAGGGCGGGGTCACAATAGGGAATCCAAGTTTTACACTGAAATATATAGGAAAAATCTTCTTCTCAAGAACCACTGGGCCAGAAAAGCTGAAACTTACTTGGAAGCATCCTGGTGTAGTGTAGATTCCAATTGTTCAAATCATGACCCCTGGGGATAGGGCAGGGCCACAATAAGTACTACGGGGGGGGGGGGGGGGGGGAGAAATCAGGTGAAAAACAGCAAGGCCAAAGTTACTCAGGTGAGCGCTGTGGCCCATGTGCCTCTTGTTTTAAATACTGTTAGATAATTATCTGGCAATTTTTAGCAAAATATATTTAAATATTCTGCACGGAGATAAACAAACAAAATGTACGTAGAACTGCAGTTCATATACTAATCAGTGGTATAAGACAAAGGATGATAAATAATCAGGTTTAAATGTGTAAATTTGTTATTCTCAAACAATCTAACGGTCCAACACCAATTATCACCTACACAATGAAAACACAAATTACCGTAAAATAAAAATTTTCGGTAGAAATAATTAATTACTCTCTGTTCATAACTGGCTTAAAAATACAAATTATAAACACAATTTTATGCTAATTTGACTTTAAAACAATTTTTTTGTTAAACATGAGAAAGCGGGTACATGTATGTATGTTCGGAAGTCCTGCCGTTTTGAAGCCCTTCAAGGCTTGTTTGTCATCCATTTTGCATGTGTAAGCGTTGTGTCATATCCAGCGAGCGTGGATGTGTTTGTTCAGAGATCTACAAACAAGGGGGTCTGGATGTCTCTGTCGAGTCCAAAAACAACAGGCTGTGCATGTGAAAAAAGTCTCTAACACCATTTTGTAAATTTAAGTACTTAATTATTTTTGTTACTTTTTAATACCCTGGTGCCAACTAAATTATCGTCTGTATGTGCGCCTAAAAGAAAAAATCCAAATTGTCTTAATATTTTAAGATACTTGCACACCTTTTAACCGAAACGTTGATTGAATTAAAGTTTATTTTAATTAATTGTTTTTAATAATCTGTTTCAATATCCGATATTTAATTTGCCAGTTGAGCTCATAGTCTTACAATGGAGACGGTGTTTGGAATTCCTCACCCTTTATTGTTATACCATGTACACTGCGTTGTAATTAAACGCTTGAAGGTTCCGACTTTAAAAATACAGATGAGTGAAATATAAAGAATAAATTAAAGAGTTGTCACCTGTAAGTAATTGTTTTAAAATATTAACATACTCTTAACATTGTAAATGGCGTGAAGATTCCCGCTGAAGCATACAGAGAGTGAAAAAATTAAAAGGTGATTTTTTTTTTATATGATCATTATCCACGAATTTACGTATCCTCGAAACAGTGATTTTTATTAAATCCACGAAAATTGATGCCAACGAATATTAATGAAACCACAGTTATCCTTGCTTCAAAATTTGTATCTCTATGGTTGTGAATGGACTAATCGTGCATTGATCAAGTCAGCTAATCCCTGATTCAAAAATTGTATTGGTATAATAAGATGTTTAAAAAGTATATCATTGAGGGATTTGGCAAGATTCCAGTTCCCCTTGACCAGGACTATTTCCCCCCGGCTTTTCCCCAAGAAATAGTCCTGGCCTTGGGGAAGTGGAATCTTGCCATCTCCCACAATGATATACTTTAACTGTACGATATATAAATTTGTTTCATATTTCATGTTTATAATTCCGTTTGCACAGAACATAGCGAAACTTTTAGAAATGAGTGCCATGATGACTACATGCAGATATATGCATTGCTTTTTTAAAATATTTATCAGAAGGCATATTAAGTTTCCATGACCTTTGCCTAATCCCTTTTGTAAAACAATATACAAGCAATAAAATATGTTCAAATCAAATCAGTATTAAATATTTTTGTTGTTCTGATGATTTACATTATAGACCAGCAAGTCTGCACACTGATGGAGTTTGATATGTTCTTTGTTTTTTGTAGTGTCCGCTGAACTACGAATAAGGACACCACCTTCAAATTTCTCCGTTAAACCAGGATCAACTGTATTATTTGAATGTACAGTGGAGGATTTGGGATCAAAGAAGGTGAGACCAGATAATATATATTATTATCCTACAGACCAAACAGTCAGTCTGATTGGTCAGGAGCATGTCATATGCAGGGAGACAAATCGTGATGTCTAGTATACAATTCGTGATCATTAGAATGGTCACCATCTCAAAAATGTTAAGTTATACACTGCCTTTGTCAGTACATGTTGTAATTAAGATTAAGTTACTAAACACTGAAATTATATTGATAAAAAAAAACTAGGCAAATGTATTATTTTTTTTCAAAATGCTTTAAAGTAACCAAACAAGAAAAAAAAAACCGAATGGCTATCTAGGTCATTTGTAATGAGAGATCTCAATATAGATGACTGAAATCTGAATGATTAAAGTTGAACTTATCTCAAACACACTCTCAAACACTAGTGTCTTGAATGGGGGATATGTTGAAGTGATTTCGCACTCTCAATCACTTTTTCTTTGATTTTTCAACCTCATTATCTCGAATCTTCGGATATTTTGAAGTATAATTTTGTTCTAGTTTAGTTCAGGATAATGAGGTTTGACTGTAAAATCATTTTGTGTTGAACAAAATGTCCACCGATTGGATGATTGTTACTGGTTAAAATGACAAACAGAATTCCTTTCCAGTCCATATGTTTTTATTATCATTGAGGATACCCGTATCCTATAATTCAGTTTGTGTAATTTAAGGATACCAACCCATAACATTAAGTTATTAAAAGAAAACACCTCATTTACAACAACATGCTCTCAGGTATTTTGATAGTTTGAATTCATTCCAAACAGGGGAAGAGAATTATGTAAGGAATGTATTTTTGTGTGTTATTTTAGCCATCGGTGGACAAAATCATTTCTGAAGTGCAGGCGGGGTTTAATGATTCTTGGATTCTAGACACTAGTTCATTCATGACAAGGGATGTTATATGTTTATGTATTAACATGGATCTAAATGCCATTGCTATGATGTCATAATGATATGCCTTTTATTATCTAGCTGTGTAGAACAAATGATGACATTTCATGTCAAGGTGAACCTATCAGTCATTGACTTTCTCTCCTTTTATCATAAATCAATCATTATGATAAATAATATTAACATTTTCAGAAATTTGAAATTATATAAAAAGAACTTGTGTGTATTCATTTTGACTATGTGTGCATTGTCTTATATTACACATTTATATGCAAGCAGTTTTATAAGAAATTCAGAATAACTGCTTTAAATATGCGCAGGATTTGAATAGTTGATTTGGCCATAATAAATGTGTATAGTGATCAGGGAAGAGTACATAAATTATGGGCTTTTGTGATTAGGTGCAGAAGATTTAATAGGTACATGTCAGGTCATTTTACGTAATCCACAAGGTACATTCAGAAAAAAAAAAAATTAAATGGGCCATCAAACTTGTGTATATGGTTAATTCTTGAATTTGTTCACTCTATAAAATGCCCTATAGTTATTGCATTGTGTTGGCAATTGATAAAGAAGTCATTGTGGAATTCTGATTATTCAAACCCTGGTTTATATTTATTTACTGGTATATACAGAACAAGAGAAAATTATATCACATGATAATTATTGAGTAAAATCTGGGGGTTAATATACACTTCTACTTTGGTATCTCAAACATTGATATTTGAATATAATGGATATGTCAAAGGAATTCCCAATATGTATTTTGACCTCAATATCTAGAATCCTCGGATATCTTGAAGTATTCTCTTGGTTTCATTGAGTTTAAGATAACGAGGTTTGACTTTATAGTATTAAAGAATAAAAACTGGGTAAAATTTAGGGTTATTATATAACATGTATAATGTAAAAGTATGTTTTGGAGGGAGTTATCAAGATCCTGGTTCCCCAAGATCAGATGTTTCCCGAGGCAAAGCTCAATAAAACTTTGGTTAAATCAAGAGGAACCAAAATTTTTCTAACTCATGAAATGGTTTTAACTTTTTTATAATGTGAATAGAAAAATTTGCTTTGGATTTAGGCCTATTCCAGCATCATTGATCACAGAATATTGACCATTATTGCTTACAGTTGGTGTTTACCAGTTCAAGTGAAGGCTGTGTCCTATCAATGTCAACCTCACATATAATGACCTATATCTCAAAGGTCACTCAGGACCATGAAAATATTTTCTCCTTTTTTATACCCCACTCTGAAGGAGAGGGGGGTGTACTGTTTTACCCTTGAGTGTCTATGTTTTTGTCCTTCTCTCCATAACAATTTCTTTAGAAAAAAGGCTGGTCTAAATAAAAAGGGGGGGGGGGGGTTAGAAACAGGGAATGTTTATTTTATTTTGTGTTCATGAGGATGATAAAACAACCACTTATGTGAATTGTTACCACATTTGAAATTTTTGCATTATCTGAAATAAGAATGTATTGTTATTATACAGTTTACAGCAGTGCAAACAAATTTATGTGTATTACATGTAATAACTTGGAAAAGTTCAAGAAATGGCATTTGATTTCTTAAATATGAAGGAAAAGTGTTACAAGATTTTGAAGAAAGAAATCCAGATTTATGAGCCCACACAAGTTTGTTTAAGCAGTAGATAGTTCGTGACATATATAAAATTAGCACCATCTCATTAGCAGTATAGCGTGAACTTTGCATTATTAATATGTGGTGTTGGTAAAATTGTTTGTCACACACATGGAAAATGTAAATATCTTATATAATGCAGAGGTATATGTTATTTATACCCCACTCTGAAGGAGAGGGGGGTGTACTGTTTTACCCTTGAGTGTCTATGTTTTTGTCCTTCTCTCCATAACAATTTCTTTAGAAAAAAGGCTGGTCTAAATAAAAAGGGGGGGGGGGGGTTAGAAACAGGGAATGTTTATTTTATTTTGTGTTCATGAGGATGATAAAACAACCACTTATGTGAATTGTTACCACATTTGAAATTTTTGCATTATCTGAAATAAGAATGTATTGTTATTATACAGTTTACAGCAGTGCAAACAAATTTATGTGTATTACATGTAATAACTTGGAAAAGTTCAAGAAATGGCATTTGATTTCTTAAATATGAAGGAAAAGTGTTACAAGATTTTGAAGAAAGAAATCCAGATTTATGAGCCCACACAAGTTTGTTTAAGCAGTAGATAGTTCGTGACATATATAAAATTAGCACCATCTCATTAGCAGTATAGCGTGAACTTTGCATTATTAATATGTGGTGTTGGTAAAATTGTTTGTCACACACATGGAAAATGTAAATATCTTATATAATGCAGAGGTGATGTATTGTTTTCCAGTTATGAATGACATGCCACAAAACCACAAGTGTTTGATAGGATTAATAGAGAGTTGGAAATCCCTGAGCATTTGAAGTTGATGAAAATTAACATACTGCAATAATAAATCTCAATAAATTGCAGAATATGAATTAATTAACATGTTCAATTAAAACTTTCAAATTGATATTTGAATGCATTTTCAGAAAATGAACTTCTTTAGGACATTTTTTAGAACTCAAAGTCTGATGACTTGTAAAAATATTCATTTATTTTGTTCTGTAAGCATTCGTTTTTCAAATTGTAAGTATGTAAACTAGGACACCTATGCAGTTTATAATTTTCTTTGCACTGGAAGTCTTTTCATAATTGGTGATGTTTATTTTATTATGATATTAGACAAGAGGTCTTGATAATGAGGCAGAAATAGGATTCTGTGGTTGAAGGTGTTATGTTAAACATTGTCAAAAACTGGAGAAATATGTACAGTATGTGTAAAAAAAAAAAAAAAAAAGATTCAATAAAGTAAACATTATGAAAATTTTATCATGAGATGACAATTAATAACTGGTTAACAAATTAATCAGATCAATAGCAATTGATCACAAAATTTGCAATCAGTTAATAATCAAAATTTTTAAGTATTTTATTTGCATTTTCAAATACTATTTTATATGGATAAAGTATTCAAAGTCATATTTTTAATCATTAATATTTTAATTATTACCAATCCTTAATTAAATAAGAGTTCATTTAAGCTCTGTAAACAAGAATTTTATGATTTTTTAGACAATTAAAATCACAGTTATAAATAACCTCATTTGATTTTTTAAAATCATTGTATATACATAATTAGATTTTAATCCTCTGCATTTGATGGCCATCCCTATAATTTTTTTGTTTTTTTTGTAGGTGATCTGGAAAAACTTGAAAGATGGAAGCAAAATCTCAGTGAACTCAGAAATTCTCACCCAAGAAAAATACAAATACACCATAGAAAGGCCCCAAGGTGAGCTTAAAGCAACAAATACAAGTACACAATAGAAAGACCCAAAGATGAGCTTAAAGCAATAAATACAGTACACCATAGAAAGGCCCCAAGGTGAGCTTAAAGCAATAAATACAATACACCATAGAAAGGCCCCAAGGTGAGCTTAAAGCAACAAATACAAGTACACCATAGAAAGGACTCAAGGTAATCTTAAAGCAACAAATACAAATACACCATAGAAAGGACTCAATGTGAGCTTAAAGCAACAAATACAAATACACCATAGAAAGGTCTCAATGTGAGCTTAAAGCAACAAATACAAATACACCATAGAAAGGCCCCAAGGTGAGCTTAAAGCAATAAATACAATACACCATAGAAAGGCCCCAAGGTGAGCTTAAAGCAATAAATACAATACACCATAGAAAGGCCCCAAGGTGAGCTTAAGGTATGTCACTCGTCAGCTTTTTAGAAAAGTTCAATCAGAACCCTTAACTTCAAAACTATTTATTACAATTCAATTTTTATAACATATTTGAATTAAACAATGCAAATTAATCAACATTCAATGAAAAAACTGCTCAGAAATTCATGAAGAAGCAAGATTTATGAGGGACTATTTCTTGTGGTGGAAGGATATTTAGAAGAAAATTCTTCAAATCTCCACATTTGTTAAATTTAATGTCTTGGAACTATAGCACCAAATATTTTCACTTAGAGAAAATTTTCCGTTATGATATGCTAGGAATATTAAATATAGGTCTCAATTTATATTTTTAAAATAAATTTTACACATTCACTCAACAGACTTTGCCAAGAAATAAACATATGTTAAAGAAGTCAAGATAAAATTTTCACCGTTTTTTGCCTGAAAATCGCAAATTTTGACCAATATCTCAAAATTTACATCACTGGCCCCAACTTTTTCTTTCATAATTTTAAACAACACGATACTTCCAGCCGATCAGCACTTGAGTCATAAAAAGTTTGATACAAGAAAATATTTCATTGCCTATTTAGATATTTCATACCCCAAATATAATACTTTTTTAGTGCAAAAAGGTCACACAATAATTTATGCGCATTAATTTGCATGATTTGTTCAATGATAAATATCATTCAAACTATTTTACGTAAAATAAGATTATATTTATTGCCAAAATTACATCTGATAAAATATGATAAAGATTAAAGTGATTGACCAAAGAATTACAATATAAGTGCAAAAAGGTCAACTTAATTGTACCCTAGCTGGGTAGGATGCACACTGACTCCCCATTTTCTTTGCGATTTTGAGTCATGCTATATGAGTACTTATTTAAAATATACTTCTCAAAAAATCCTTGATATAACTAATTTCACGAGTGACATACCTTAAAGCAACAAATACAAGTACACCATAGAAAGGACTCAAGGTAATCTTAAAGCAACAAATACAAATACACCATAGAAAGGTCTCAAGGAGAGCTTAAAGCAACAAATACAAATACACCATAGAAAGGTCTCAATGTGAGCTTAAAGCAATAAATACAAGTACACCATAGAAAGGTCTCAATGTGAGCTTAAAGCAATAAATACAATACACCATAGAAAGGCCCCAAGGTGAGCTTAAAGCAACAAATACAAGTACACCATAGAAAGGACTCAAGGTAATCTTAAAGCAACAAATACAAATACACCATAGAAAGGACTCAAGGTGAGCTTAAAGCAACAAATACAAATACACCATAGAAAGGACTCAAGGTGAAATTATTATTATGATAAAGCAAAGTAGAAATTTTTCTGATGACTTTGTTTGGAAAAGTTTTTGAAAGATTGGGATATAATGATGTGCAAGTTGAAACGTTATGAATGAACTAATGAATTGTTAGATTTGCTTGATTGTGCATCAGTGGATTTAGTGGGTTATCAATTATCTAAAAAGTTGAGATTTTTTTTTAGATGAGCTTGATTGTACCTTTATGGGTTTTAGTTTGGTACAACTTGACAAGTTTTCTATGAACTCTAGATTTTGTTAGACCAAATTAAGTCAGTCACAGATTGACAATAAGCATGATAAGTCTTGAGATTTGTGAGATTAGCTCGGTTTTACATCACTGAATTAAGTGGGTTACAGATTAATTTACAAGTTCTCAATGAATTCTAGATTTTCTGAGATAGCTAGCTTGTACATTTGGATTTATTTAGGAAAAACAGATATATGTTTTTCTTTGGCACAACTAAAATGTTAGAGCAAAGTTGTTGGAGCTGTGAATTTCTGAGTAACAGCAGGCTTGACATTTGTGAGTTGTTTTAGGAACAGCAAAAAAATAGAGATTGATTGTACAGGAACTGTGGCTTGAGTCAGGACAAGGAGAAAATCAATTTCAATTTAGCAACTAAATTATAAATGAGAGGTATTATAGGTAACAGAGATTAAGAAAACATAGATTATGTCATTCTGTGAATCTTGAATAGGCTTCTGCAACTCTTAAACAGTTTGAATAGTAAATGAGTCTTTATGTCAGGGTAGGATTTAAGCTGATATTGTAATCCTAACAGAACTAGATACATGTAAATGATCTGAAATAGCACTGCAATTAAATGTCATCATATTTTCTACTTTTAAGACTCTCGGGATTTCCCTTTCTTTTTACGGATTTACAATGTACAGTCCAGGGACCAAGGTCACTACCAGTGTTTTGTGGATTCCGATCCAACAGTCTCTGTCACACACACATTGGCAGTTGAGGGTAAGTCCACCTTATTAAAGTGAAGAGTTATCTCCCTGTGGCAAGTAAATAACATTGAGAAAAAGGTACCTCATTTACATTGATTAGACAATGACTTATATAAATCATCTGCAATAACTGGTACCAGTGAGAAAATGAATGTGGTACCTCTTCATTTAATTTAATATACTGCATTCAATTGCTTAATGCATCATTGTACATGAAAATCTACCTGGTAATTTGTAGCTGACTTCCACCTGGACTAAACTTCGAAGGATATACATCTTTAGGCCTGGGACGTTTTCTACCGTTAATATCGTAAATTCTGCATCTAACATATAGGTCTGTCACAGTTCCCAGAAATGAGTGATTTTTGGGGAAATGACTGTTTGGGAGAATGATTTCTTCACTATCAGTTCAGTTTCTGTTCCATTTTTCCAGATTTTGGTTTCAGTCTGGTTTAATAATAAAAGAATCTTTTTGAACAAAAAAAGGCATTAATAGTGTGGACTTATGAATGATGACGATCACAGTTTTTGATGTATATCACAATCAAATATTCAGTAAATGTACTTCATCCATGATAAAACACTTGTCATGAAAGGATTGAATAATCAAGTAAGAGTGCCCATGTTGTCACTTATAGTAGGCCTAGTATATAAAACCAGTGATATCAAAACTTTAGTCATTGTGTTCATTTTTTTTTTAAATTAAGTGAAATAAATAAATTTTTTAATTATGAACTGTGAGTTTAAAATACATATAGATATTAAGAACCGAGCCATAAAACGTAAAAACCTTACCAATTTCAAAATTCCTGAACTGACCCGACCTGAAAAAATTCGAAACCATGATAGCCCTATAAAGAACATTTATAGTCATGATAGTTGTTGCTTTGATTTTTTTCAGTGTACAGTCACAGTTTACCTGATATTTAACAAGGTGAACCATGTCTTTTGTAGGTGCCTCCACAACCCCAGCACCACGGAATGCTTCTGCAGATTTCAATGTGACGGGTATGTGGGAGACATTTCTAATACAAACTCAAATTAAGTAACAATGTACAAAGCTAAGACAGTCATTGCTTGGAATGTTAAAATATATCTGATAATCAGTTTATAAATATTAATATTGAATATCCCAAGAGAGTCATTTGACTTCCAAGCACTGAGATCTTACTTTGATTTAAGCAACTTGAAATACAAGTGAATTTATACAGTTTGCGTATATTGAAGAATCAACTACACAGGGAAAAGTGGCTCGCATGAACTTCATATAAAATTCGCATGAATATCATGCGAATTCTTCGCATGAGAAGGAGACGAAAAGGACCACGCATGATATTCGCACGAAAATATCATGCAATTTTCACATGAAATTCACACAAATATCATGCGAAAAGAAAATCGCACGAAATTCATGTGAAAAAAAGAACCCAGGTTTCATATGAATATCATGCGAAGACAAGCATATTTTTTGTACCCCAGATATTAATATCAAGCTATTATCTATGAGTGCACCAAACCTAATCCATTAATTCTATCCTTCTTCCTTGGAAACAGAATTTTTGTTTCTTGCAAATGAAGTTTTCTTGAAAAATTCTCTTTTTCTTACTTAGTCAGTTAATCCAGACACAAGTAATGCATGATTATACAAAAAGTAACTTTGAATTTGAAAGAATCAAAACTTGTTTCCTGGACTCCCTGACTAAATAAAGACATCTGTGACATCAATTTCTACATTGAAAACTAAAACAATTGATCTTTTTCTATCTTCTTTATTGAGGTTCTCATCACATAAGATTTCTTTATCTTGAGGATTCTGTTGAGAGGGTGTTGTCCTTATAGCTGAAAATACAAAAATAAACAATCTCAGGTTATTGAAATTCATAATGGACAATATTTTTTTTTAAATTAACTATGACTACCCTAGGCCCTTAAGTAGGATTAATACCTCTTGGTCATAATCACCTGTATGCCAAGTATGTTCTCCAGATATTACTCCAATAAAAAGTTGCATTTTCTGAGATACTTCTGTCAACTCTATGACCTTGACCTTGTCTTATGACCTCTGTTCTGGAAATGGCATATCTTAATTAAGTTATGATCATTATCAACCATTAGGGCAGTATGATCTTTGGGAGTTACTTTTTTCAATATACAATTATGTTATGGCCAAGAATTTAAACTTCAATTCCTGTTACCTCTACATTGCGTAAATGACCAACAGGCAGGGTTGTTTCACTGCCTCTAGTCATAATTAAGCAACCTTAAAAACATATCTAGTTCAAATTACCCTATGTTAGTCTTGGGATATACCTTTGAGTCACAGGCGAGTTTTGTCTCAGGTATGTCTACTGTGTTTCCATTATAGAGTTGTGAATGAAAATAATTTAATACATTTGTACCCTTTTGACCTTGAACATATCTAAAATGCCCTTGGTACTGGGTCAAGACTCATCTCTGGACTCAAGCTACCTTTCTATCAGTTATGAGCCTAAGATTGTTTTCTTGGTTACAAAGTCATGTTCAAATAAGAATTTAATTCTCTTATTCCTTTTTTTAAAAGTTTGACAAATCAGTCTGTAAATTCCTGTTACCAGTTAGTTCATATATAATTACAAAGTGTAGGGAAAAAACAAGATGTGTTTGTGAAACACTGATGCCCCCTATGGCAGCTTATGGCGAAGGTTAAACTTTCTCAAATGCAAGTCAAACTGCAAAGTCGAGAGATCAAAAATGCCCAAGCACCAACCATTCAAAAGTTATGGTCAAGGTTATGTTTTCTAAAAGTGGGCCAAACTCCAAGGTCAAGGTCAAAGGGTCAAAATTAATGGTATTCAGGGGGAAGACCTTGTCATAAGAAATATACATGCAGAATATAAAAGCCCTAGCACCAATAGTTCAAAAGTTATGGTCAAGGTTAAATTTTTTCAAAAGTAGGTCAAACTCAAAGGGCAAGGTCAAAATTGTTGATATCCAAAGAAAGGTCTTGTCACAAGGAATACACCTGTGAAATTTGAAAGCCCTAGTACTAACTATTCAAAAGTTATGGCCAAGGTTAAAGTCTTTTAAAAGTGGGTCAAACTCTAAGGTCAAGGTCAAAAAGTAAAAAATATTTACACCCAAGGAAAGGTCTTGTCAGGATAAATACACAAGTGAAATCTGAAAGCCCTAACACCAACTGTTCAAAAGTTATGGCCAAGGTTAAAGTTGGGTAAATTTTTACAAAAGTGGGTCAAACTCCAAGGTCAAGGTCAAATATGTTGGTACCAAAAGGAAGGTCTAGTCAATAAATACATGTGAAATATGGACGGACGGGGCAAATAACAGGGAATTATTTAATCTTAGACTAATTATAAATCCTGGATTTTCAGAAAATTCTGAAATCAGGTGTAGTGCCTGAAACTAACTTAGTTTGGCTTGAAATTATCAGTTTTCACTGTAGTAGTTACTATCTAAATGGGTAAGTGTGTATATAAGAAGCTAATATAATTGAATTATTGTTTATTTTTATTCATTCATGTTTTTATTGTGTTCCAATTTCATATTTTTATTGTTTATTTCAGTCATAATTATTATTTCTAGGGTAAATGTCTTTTATGCAGTGTATCTGGTGTTCTACTGTTGTAGCTGTAGAAAATAATGACGCATGCGCAGATGGGGGTTAGTCGATGCCTGGCATCAAAAAACGACTAACCCCCATTTGCGCATGCGTCATTATTTTCTCGCTAAATTCTGCAGTTTTCTGCAATCAAACGGCGATATTAAAATAATCCATCGAATTTCCGTCATTAAATTATGCTACGACTCCACTGTTATCGCAAAACGTTCCTTCCGAGTTGTAGATATCCGTTAAACATTGCCAACAACGCACGGCTTCATAGTCCCCATGAATGAAGACCCGACTGAAGAAATGACTCGCAGCAAACGAAAATACATACCGATGCGTATTCAGCACGACAACTGCAAACACTTACATATGTTTTCACAAACGTAACAACTTTTAAATCCAACGAAATGGTCAGAAAAATGCAGCGATGTAAACACTACCAAATTTACAGCAGCTTCCTTATGCAGACAACCACTCCTCGACGTCACAGTCGTAAAATACGACGTCACAGGTACACTCTTTTCCCGAACTTTTCTAATGCAAAATGGCGATTAAGCATTGTACGTAATATAAGGTATACTGTCTTTGTTGTTCAGCACACGTACTTTTAATTGTTTGCAAAAAGTTCTCCTTTAACCAGGTAATTAAATATCACAAGAGGAAAGGAAACTGGAATGTCTTCAGTACAGAAATCGGTCTTTGAAAATTGAAGATCCATGATCCGCCCACTTGTTTCACCTCCAGCTAAGAGGTGCATATTTAGTGTGCAAATCGAGAGTTTTCAAGCCATTGTGACGTCACCCTCAATAATTTGTAACAGATCAGTGAAGTCTTACAAATGAATCAATAAAAAAAAAGTAATAAAGAGTTAAACTGTGGAAATCATTAGTTTTCAAGTCTTGTGTACTATAAACAAATTATTACTGATTAATCAGGTGTAAGGCACAACGATTCTCCACAAGGCAGCATTGATATAGTAGTACTTGATGTACATGTAATACAATATGATAGTACTTGATGTACATGTAAATATACTGTAGATCATCCGTTTATTTGAGATACCCCACCTGCCCCCGAAATGAATTTGTATTGAACCCTTTTATCGATTGATTTGTGTATAATCAAGAACTAACGAGAATGGGGTTGACTGGAATGGGGGGGGGGGATTGGAACAGGGGGGTCGAAGTATAACATTAGTTTTATAATATAAACATTGGTCAACAGGTGTTACACAGGTGCTTTATAACATAACTTGAAATATACATATATGAAAGAAGAACTATACAGCAGTATCTCCTATTATTAATCTTGCTTTAGAGTAAAGTTTTCCCTCTTTTTAAAACATTCAAACACATATTTCCCAAGTTTTTTAAGTACATTTTCTGAGTCGGAATTAAGTAATTCAATTAATTTTACCATACTAGGTCTTGCGTAAAAATATTTTTTAATATATTTTTCTCTTAACTCAACATAAAACTTGCATATTAAAACAAAATGATATTCGTCTTCTATTTCGTTAGATGTACAAAATACACATTTTCGTTCACTTATAAGACATTTTTGCTCATATCTACCAGACTCAATACGTAAACAATGTGAAGATAATCTGAGTCTACTTTGTGCATAGTCGGGTTTAGATATTTACACAATCTTAAAGGATGGGCATTTTCTATCTCTACTTTTAGTTTTTGAAAAAAACAATCAGCCTGCCTTTGTTCAAAATAAACATAAAATACCTTTTCATTTACTGACTCGGGAAAATACCATACATCGCCAAAACCATGTGATAAAAGTGTCTGTTTGACAAAAATGATCCAATTTGTAGACATATTCTTAAAATCATAATTATAAATTGACCTTATAAGACAATTTTCTGATCGAAGGACTTTAAACCAATATTTAATAATGCGAAATGTTCTCTTTACTATCAACGGTTTTCTTCCTAATTCCCCATAAACAGCCGGGGTACATGTTGAGGTTTTAACTCCCAGTAGTCTTTTACCAAATTTTAAGTGTATTCGTACCATTTCTTTTGCCGGTATAGAGCCCCACACTTCTGCCCCATAGTTCATTTTCGAGACACACGCAACGTTGAACAATTCACATACTGTTTTACAATCTAGTGACATTTTTTGAACATTACTCATGAATGCATTATATAGTTGTAGAGTTTTTTCTGCCGTTATCTTCACATGTTTATTAAAGAGTCCGTTTGAGGAAAACACCAGTCCAAGATATGCAAAACTGTCTACAATTTCCAAGGCACTACCGCTATACGTAAATTTGTATCCCTTTTTTGTCTGTCCTTTTTGAAAAATCATTACTTTCGTTTTATCTACATTTTAAACTTTGATCACCAATTATGGCCCCTCCCTACCCCTAAGGGGACATGATTTGAACAACC